TCCCATGCCTTAAATTTTTTTTCCGTAACTACTGAAATAGTGACGATCAGCGCATTGGAAATACCTGGCGGCAAATGAGGTTGTAATTTATTCTGATCATTGCAACGAACTATTGTATTCCTTACATGATTGGGGCGAAATATCGCATCCCAAAAGCTTTAGTAAGTCTTAATATTGAATGATCAAGATCCAGCATACAAGTTAACGTGGGAACAGCTGCCGAATCAATCTCAAAAACGAAAGCAGTACAATCAAGAGCGATGCTGATTTTCTTCACTCTATTACGCATTATGGATCCTTGAATCCCATTCTAGAGTGTACTAGTGGTGCATTGGTGGATAAGACTCAGGGGTGGGATCAATCCTGCGTCTCACGAGTGAAAATAAGAGTCCAGAAAAATCAGCCAGTGACCCAAAACATGCATCAAATTGGAGTAGAAAGCTTTTCATGGCAGCTTACTTGGTGGTGCGTTGAGTGTGCGAAGATGCAGATTCTGTTATTGCACCCTAGCCGTGGGGGAAACATGGCTGCACCCCCGAAGTAATCTACCTGATTCATTGTGATATGAAGCAACGCTCAGGGAACCTGATTCAATAATATACATGGATACTGTAAAAATCCATTTTCTTATGATGGATGTTGACTATCTTTGACCGTTAGATTCCGCACACGATGTTTAGAGTCTTCAATTCCTATTTGCTGCACCGCTTTAAGTCACCTTCAACACAAATTTACATTCAATCTTCCTTGGCAACGGGGAAACGAGGTTTCAATCCAAGACCCCGAGATCCTGCAATTATAAATGGGAACCGTCCGCTAGCCATTCGAATATTCTAAGTCGCTGGGTCAGCCATCCACCATCGACACCGGCTGTCTGCAGTGAATGGAACCCTTTGGCCCTCCTGACGAATTATCGGCGCTGCCATTCAAGGATAATTTTTGACGAGGCCGAGGGAGTGGAGGCGATAATGTCACTGAGCGAGATGTCCAAACACACGGAAGCTGCAGTGGGGCTGCTGAAGCTGAGCAGAACGCACTGGAGCGACGGCGAAGAGATTCCACAGCGCTTGAGAAGGCGACGTAAGGTCCTTCAGTTGGCAGTCCGCGTTGCGCGCTGAGTGAGGCGCTCTTGGGAGTGAACGAATAGGAAGACGGAGGGCACTACAATGTGCGGACACGCTCGCAAGCTATTTTGCATTGTGTGTGTGTGTATGTGTGTAGTTTCTCGTGCTGCGACCTCTCCTCACATCCAATGGCGGAAGTCGCGGCTGAGGTGGCGCCCATCAGACCAAAAGAAGTTTTTTCTCAAAAGCGTATGCTATACCAAGTGCGTATTTTGCTGTTAATTTGAAAGGCGAAGGGAAGGCGCTGACGCAGAGGACCAACATGGGACTCGGATCTGATAGAAGCAGCATACTGGACGCAGACAGAGTCGCGGCAAACTACATGAAGATGTTCTCTTCTTATGATGCCGTTCGATCAAATGCTTTGGAATTCAAAAGGGAGGAAAGAAGACACGGGCTCATTTGTCCCAAGGTGAACTGTGCTGCAATTGTAAAGCGATCGGCGCTGCATATGATCACCGCAATGTGGATTACTATGCCACGCATTTCGCCATGAAACATGTAGAGATTTCTGTTGCCAATGGTCAATCAGGATGATGGCCATTTCCACGGCTTAAATCCATGGGAAAAGTGACGGCAGGGATAAATTTCGACGTATTTCTTGGACCGCGAGCATAATGAACGCTCAGTGCGGAAAAGGCTCGATAGCCCGCATCTCTTGGCAATACGATTTTACTATTGGTATAGGTTGCACTCAAAATTTCAGTGAAAACAACCGCTCTGCCGCATCTTGATATGAACCGATGCCATGGAGCAGTGTATGTTTTATTAAGCTTTTCTGTGTTAACAGTCGTATTTGCTTGGTTATGTAGATTGAATTGAGACCTTGGGATTAGGACATCGATTACAAATGTTCAAGTGGACACCGATGGAATTTTGCTCCATTCAAATCGTCACCATTCAGAACGGAGGAACGTGATGTGTAAATATCGATATTGGTACATAAATTCCATGGCTTAATTAGCATAAGGCAAAAGTCGTGTTTGTTAACTGAGCTCCCATTCTATATTGTCGAGGTTTTGGTATTTATTAATTGCAGGTTGTGAACTTGCAATCAACATGGGTCCGTTCCAACAAATCCCCCATAAACTCCGCCCGGTTAATTCGCTGCTTTTGAACGATAGGTCCACGCGCCGACTTGATCTGAAGACATCGCCCCGCGAGGACACCACATAGGTCACGTTAACACGCGAAGAATGTTCGCAGGCCAGGATCCTCTTGGCATATGTGCATGTATCCGATATATGGCATTTACTGTCTTGAAACTCCTTGATCAATGGCGACAATGCCAAACACAGGTTGCCAACAAGCTGCTGGCGCTGCACACGGCATTTGTCGAGATCGATGCCGTTGCTCCCGCACTGCATTTCTTTTTGATGACCAAAAACATTACAAACCGGCTGTACAAGAGCGGATCGATGCCGGCGGAAGACGAAGCGGATTGGATCATGGGAGAGAAACTGCTGCGAAATGTAGGGTGCGGGCACCATGATAAACCTCCTCCATCATTCCAATCAGATTTCGTGGATTTCCCTTGTAGATCTTGAATAAAACGTGCATACAAAATGCGCAGAAGCTCCTAACCTGGACCGTCTGATTCATAAGCACCGCACACCGAAAACAGACCGGTTATATTAAGCCATTTGCAGACGCGGGTGGAGGCTGCAGTGCTGCATAAAAGAGGCAGGCATGGCTGAGCATGCAGCGCCCATGGGCGCACAACAACACATGTTTCCGGCAAGAAGCATACGCTTTTTTCATGGAACCCAACAGGACTCCATCCCATATAAGGTGTCTTTCTCAATCTGCCTTGCATACCATGGGCATTTTAGTCTAATTCTCTTTTTAATTTTGGGAATTTGTTGCTTTTCAGCGCCACAACATGTGCAGCTGAGATGTCATGATCCAAGGGATTTTGAACGTCCTGCAGAAGTGCATGTGTGTGTATCCATGGAATGCCACCGCGGAACACAATGCATTGAGGGAATGAACCACACGCGGACCTTCCCTGAGCCAAGCTTCATGCGAATCGCAGGCAATTGCCAGTCAAGCTTCTGAGCGGCGTTGAAAGGGATGGCCATGGAGGGCTTGGGGAACATGCACCGGTCCGCTTCGATCCACTATTTAAGATTTTCGAAAAGAGGAAAAAGTGCACTGCGGAGATGTGCCACTAGCGTAGCTCCAGCACAGTTCGAGCGTCCCGCCGAATGTGAAGCGGCGCATTCGGTAACAAATTCTGCCTGGAAGGGTCTTCACTTCTGCGCCATGTTGAATTTCTGCCGTGGGGATTTCATGACCGTTAGTGACTGTTGATGATTGTGGGTCTGGTGGAACACCCGCCATGCAAAAACATAACTATTAATTGTGGGTCGTTGGGGATTAAAAATGACATGTGCATGGCATCGTCGGGACTGGATCATCGCTCTGATTTGGGGCTGTTTCCCAAGTGATCCATTTTCCTTTGCACACCTTCCAGTAACCATTTTTTCTGATTCTAATTCAGCTTTACTTTGAGAAGAGCGTCGTCAGAAGGCATGTAAAAGAAAATATGTGAATGGCCGCGGGCCCTGATGGTTGGCGACCAACGGAAATACGGAGCATCAACGCCACTGCAACTTTACTGTAATTAAGTGAATTGAGAAATATTTTCAGTCCCTTTCTAATTTGAAAAGTTAACAAGGCTTTGATAGAAGATAAGTGTGCACACTGGTAAATGATATGCCTTGCTTCAAGATCATTCACGCTGTGTTTCCAATGTCCCATCAGCGAGATGGTGTAATTGGGCGAATATGTTGCTCCACAACCCCAAGCTTGCTGAATTCAGTTTCGAAGCAACGACCACTTGTATCGCTTTCATTGGTCTTGGGCTGGAGAAGCCTCAGGGTAGGTGTCTGCGGTCGGCTTTGGGATCTACCTTCGAACATTGGGAGCATCGCTCTTCCCATTGAGTGCAATTTCGCTAGTTGCAATGCCTTGCACTGCCCTCCCATACCTGCAGAGTGTATGTCTATTATAGCTTTCATGCCTCTTCTGCTGCGCCAGCTGGTGAATCCAGGGCAGACGACTCACGCTGCTTTTCATTCAACGAGCAGGAACATCTTCACCTGGTACCTTTTCCTTGAGGGCGTACTCACGTGGTGCTCATACAATGAGAAACATGTCATGTGGAAGACTACTTTGTAGAAGACCGTAGAAGAATAGTCTTTGGGCATAGGCCATTGGGCTGCACCAACTTTTGGCATTGATGCGAAGCTGTCACAAAGAAGCTAACAAAATAAAAATAAAAATATGCTGCGATGTTGCAGCCCGTTGTAAAAAAAAGGAGAGGTTCAACGTGGCGACGCTTTTGCATCAATGCCACAAATTGTTGCCGTACCTGTAGGCTCGTTCGGCAACATGGCTCAGGGTTCGGGGCCCACACTATCCACTGAAGAGCTTACGGCTTTGACAAAGAGCTCTTATCCCCTTATCGCCGATTGGATATCCAATCGGGCATCGACATCGACGCCGTCTACGGCTTCAGCACACACGCCGGCTGCGAGGTGACAGACACCCAGTTTGCCCTCCGGCCTTTTCGCCTCAAGTCGCAACTCCTAACAGCTCCCGCGCAGCAAACCCCAACACCGAAAGCCCTGACAACGAACTGGAAAATGAAAATGCAAGCTCGCAGCGAAAGCACGCAGCTTCAGCAGGACTTCCCCAGTTTTACGAGGTGAATCATGGTTGATGCATTTGGTGGCTGGGTACTGGTGCAACCGGCCCAGAAGTGCCCCCCTACCCCTGCCAAAACTTGCCAACCAGCCAGCAACTCGGGTTTCCCTGCACCCCCTCCGGGTACCCCCTCCCCGTCGACCGGGCGCTACAGTCGGGTTCGGCATGCCGAAGCCCCGGGGCGTGCTGCACGTCCCGCTCGTCCCCATCCCCGAGGACACTCTCGACGACGCCGTGGACGCAGGTAGCCAGCCAGCCCCCTTCTGAGGCCCACCCCCTTGGCCAGGAACTCGCGCGGGGATCGACACACCGGCCTGTGTTGGGCCCGCGCGATTGCGTTCACCAGCGGAAGGGCTGGCACGGCGGACGGGCTGACGGGAATTTACGGCATCTGGGCCGCAGAGTTGCGAAATGGGGCGGGGCCGAGCGGCTACGGGCTTGAGGCGGAGGAGGACTACGTGCGGGAGAGGCGCGGCCCGTGGGCGACGTTTTTCCAGGTGCGGCTCCGTTTTGCGGCGCGGGGCGGGATCCTGCCACCTTCTGTGAGGCGCAGCGTTCCGGCGGACGGGTTTGGGTTGCGGCGACGATTGGCTGGCGCCTGATAAGATTAGCGCTTGAAAGGACGGCTTCTGGAGCTGGCTGAAGCGATCTGGGGGAAAGGCAACCCACTGGGCGGTCGAGCCGCATTCTCTTGCCCACCTGCGTCAGCTCGATTTTTCTTTCCCTGCGTTCTGCTAAGACGTGGAATGCTCAGACACACCTTTGTGTCGGCTCTGCAGCGCGGCAGCGATGTGGAAAGCGCTCGGGTGAACCACCACTACACCCGGGAAGGTGGGTGGACGTCGAAAGTGTGGCGATTTGCCGTGGCTGAGCATGAATCGGCACGATACTTTCCTGGCGCAGGATTGATTCGTGTTGTCACGTACTTTGCCTTGATTTGCGCCTTTGTCCAAACACAGCTGTCCAAACTGCCCACCGCTGGGCTCCTATTGCTCACATTGCCCAGAACATGACAAGCGCTGCAGTTAGACGTGAGAAGAAAACGATGTGCTTAGTTCCATCCCAAAGGTTTGCGGAGGACAGTTGGTCCCATCCATTCTCTCAGAACATTCCAGAATCGCAGAACATTATGGTAGAGAAAGGATGGCAAGTCAAGTCCCACAGCAGGAATAAGTTACTCACGTTTGCCAACAGTGCACTTGATTGAATGGGATGTCATCTCATGAACAGTTGGAAACTCCCCACTTGCCACATCTGTGCCTGCATACACTGGCACATTGTAGCCCACTCCTTGCCACATGCCCAACCCAAAGCTGTCTGGCACAGAGATGCTGGCGTTTCAATTCTTGCACAGGGAGCAGTCCATGTGAGGTACGTACATGTGCACAAGTGAATTTCTGTGCAGCTCTGCAGCTCACAGTGGTTGGCCTTTCTTTGCAGAGAGAGGAAGGCTGAACGCAGTTGAGGGGGTGGACTACTTTTCACCCAACAGTGAAGTGTATAGGGAGTGGCTACGATCACAGGTGCACTCCAGACTGGGTCGGCTTGTTGGCTTGAAAGTGCCAGGAAGGGGGACTGAGCATTCGCTGCAACAGGATGGGAAACATGTCACACAATGGCCATCCATTACCTTAGCATAATGATGGTGCCACTCTGTTCCACACCTTAAAAGCTGCTGTGCAAGCCTGTGAAGGCAGAATTTTGCATATGTTTGTCTGGAGTTGGGGAAAATGCCATGCTTTTGACCTCTTTCATGTGGAGGAAGCTCGCTAGGCCTGTTTCATGTGTTGTGTGTCCACCTGTTGTTGTTGTTGTTGTTGCAGTAGCAGCAGAAATATTGTCCCTTCTTCATGTTCTGAGGCATCGCATCACATTTGAGCTGTCAGGTGCTTTGCAAGTCTCAGCAGAAGAGAAATTGTTGTCAATCAATATACATGGAGGCTTGACACAGAACAGCAGTGCATCTCCATCCTTTACTGGCCAATCTCCAGCACGCCCGCAACTTGATATATCCCCTCTAAGCAAGGTCCAGCAGTGTCTACCCAAAACTAAGGGAAAGATGGCGAGGTATAGTGAGAGGGTGGTAAACTCTTTGTCAAGCTTTGGTTTGTGTGAGTACTGCTGTCTGGCGATCCTGACCACTTCATTGAGGGGTTCTGTGTTGCTGCTCCCCAGCCACATCGTCGCACATGGGACCGATGGCTGATGATGGGAACCATAGGTGCATTCACTGGCTTTGTGGGGTACTGCTTGTATTTGGTAAGATCACAATGCTATGCATTTGTTATTGCTTTGAGGATAACAGATTTTGAGACACAGTGTGTGTGTGTTTGTCTGACTTTCTCGTATCTGCAACTGAGGGATATCAGCAGTGGACAGATTGTTCTATTTGATGTGTTGATAAGTTCCAAGATGCGATGCGTGACTTGATGCTATGTTCCTCCACATGCTATGTGAGGAAACTCAATTTCGTTCAGCCAGCAATGGTCCACATTGTGGGGGCAAATGTTGACTAGCTCCCTTTCTCGATTGCTCAATTCAATTGGGAGCTCCTGTCTGTCAGCTTTGCACATATGAAAGAAGCAGGACCTCTTCTTTGACGATGTCCTGAAAATCTCGAACATGGTAGTGTACATGATGTTGATGGTGCCACCGTGAAGCAAACATCTTTTGAGGTTTTGCTCATCGGCCAGCATTCATGCCCTTCCACGTACATGTCCATTGAACTCACCATCTTTCGATTGCATCACCCAACAGTTTCGCCAGTGTCATCTGATGTCCTTTCTGACATTGCTGTGTCATAGTCAGATGCACATAATCTGAGTGGATTCTTGAACACAATGTTCAGCTGTGGACGGAGTTGGGCACTTGTGATCATGCAACTGGAACCTGCCAACACATTGATTGCTAATTCAGCAGTTATGTCGTGCACTCATTGCTTACATCCTCTCCGCAAATCCAGAGGGACTCTGCAGTGCGTTGTTTGAGTGTTTCTGGGTTCTCAATTGCTGTGTACAGGCCATCAACTATGTGTCCATGGCAAAACACCAGATCTTTTGGAGGTTCACGGCGGGCTTGTCATGGTTCCTTAACACATCCATGAGTGTTGGCCTGGCGTTCTGTGCCGCATGGACTGTTGTCTTTGTTGCACCGGCAGCAGCAGGTTCCGGTGTGCCTGAGGTCATGGCTTTCCTCAATGGGCTGAATATCCCAAAGGTGATGCTGCATATGCACTCTGGGAATTGATCTCTGGGCATTGATCAGTGACTCTTTGGTGGTGTGCCATCCATTGGCTGCTGCTGCTGCTGCTGCTGTGTGTGCCACTGTTCTCTTCTGTGTCATTTGCTGTGTCCATCCAAGCTTTGCTGGCTGTTGCACTCTTCCAAGCCCAGTGTTAACAGTTCTCTGCTGTTGTGTGGTGACAGGTATTCAACATAAGGACATTTTTGGTCAAGCTTGTGTCTACCTGCTTGGCTGTGTCTTCTGGCCTCCCCGTGGGTCCTGAGGGCCCGATGATCCACATTGGTGCAGCCATTGGTGCGGGCCTCAGTCAGACACACTCAACAACCCTGGGGTGAGTGTGGACGGGGTGTTGATACTGAGCATGGCAAAAGTCCATGGTGCTTGGGATCCCTGAGGGCGCTCGATGGCAGCAATAGTTGTGTATATCTGCAGGGGATAGTCTGTGCCTGTGGCACTTCACCAACACGTGACCTTCTGCCCTATGCTCTCTGTCGAAGCCAAGTACCAGGATGGAGTTTCTTTTGGCAGCACTTGCTTGGCTTGCACCCTGACTTGCTGATGGGCACTACAATCGCAACATTTTTCTTCGAGCGAGGCTGCCATGGAAGACTGACGTGTGCAGACCATGTGAGGTTGGCTTGGAAATATGGCGCCAATGGCTAAGAAAACCAGATGTTGTTGGTGAGCATGGTGTTATTGTGGGAATTTTCTCATGTGCCTTGCCATGCTGTGATTCAGATTGGACTTGGAAGTGTTTGAGAGGTTCCGTAACCCAAAGGACAAGAGGGATTTCGTTACAGCCGGTGCCGCTGTCGGTGCTGCAGTGGCCTTTGAGGCACCCATCGGCGGACTGCTGTTTGCTTTTGAGGAGGTTGCCTCCTTCTGGCAGCAGAGCCTGTGCTGGCAAATCTTCTTTGCATGTGTGTGCTCGATACTAAGCTTGGGGCTTTTGCGATCGGCGGAGAAAGCCCTTGGCGGGGAGGGGCACTTTGGGTTGTTTGAAAGTACAACGTTGTTTGAGGTAAAAGACTGCCCGATTTGTCCTAGAGTGCTTTGGAGAAGGGAGAGCGCAGTGTTGTGTGACGCCAAGTGAAGTGAAAAGTATTTGTCAAACTGAAAGTATTGGCGCTGTCCTGCACAGTACGATGCACTATGTGTGGCCTCTTGATGCATGACCAGTATTGTTGTAAAAGGTTTCCAAGGTGATGCTTCCCTGCCAGCCCTTTGGAAAGCCTGTGAATCGCTTGTGAGATTGATGTCTTACCATTGAACAGCTCAACTGTGAAGACAAGGCTGAACGTCTGTGAGAATATTGTGTTGTGAATATGGGTCTGTTGATGATTTATCTAGGCCAACAAGCAGGGGCAGACACCTCGTTGCCAAACAAGGATTCTTTGTTGGTCTGATGAGCACACCTGTGCAGCAGCACCAGCTGACAAGGATCTTTGTTTGAAGCCTGTTACTGAAGCAACAGACGTTCTTATTTACGATGGAAAAAAATACATATCACAATGGCCATTCCCTGCTGAGCAAGGCCTGTGACTTTTGGACTTTAGATCTCCGCACCTGTGACTTGTGACTGTTGGAACCAGCTGCCCCCTTCAGGCCTAGCTTTACCTTGAGTGTTCCCTGTCCCAGGTGAAAAATTCGCTTCTGAAGACCCACATTGTGATGGTTATCCCAGCCGTTGTGATCGGGGTCATCTGTGGCTTGGTCGGCATCGTGTTCACTGTTATGAACCTGAAGGTGTCACGCCTGAGGGATGAGCTGATGAAGGAGCGCAAGTGGTGGAGGGTTTGGGAGCCCTGCATCCTTGCTTTCATTTTTGTCACAGGCACTGTGGTGCTGCCCATGTTCTTCCCCTGTCTTGAGGCCCACTGCTTCATCAATGAGCAGGTCGGTTTGTCTTTCTCTTCAACTTTGGCTGGCTGTTGGCCTGTGCAATGCAGCCAGTGAAGTTGCACGATTAGTGCCTGTTGAATTTTGTGGAGAGTAGGGGCAAGTGCTGAAACTTGCATCAACCTGCCCTGGGCTATGTATCAACTAAGCTGGAACAACCTTGGAAAGGCCAGCCTTGTTAGCAAATAGCCTTTTGTTGTGGTGCTTGCCGCTGATTTTATGTTGGTGTTCAGCGCACAGGATGACCTTCAACACACTTGCATCCCAGAAGATTCTGACGACCTGTCCAGGGTCATTGAACCTGTGAGTCGCTTGGAGACCTGCATTCCTGGTGGCCACCTGAGTGCTAAACAGGCCAATTCCTACTGGGAGCAAAAGGCCAAGTCTGAAGGAACATATGTAAATGGATCATACCCTGTGGAGTACAATGAGCTCGCCACACTGATGTCTCTGACAGGTAGACCCAGCATCGATATGTAAAGTGGCTGTTGAACAATTCGAGGTGCCACAGATATATACGCCTGGCTTGGAATCGTTGTTAGCAACCGCAACTTGGGGGGTACTTTTGCCCTGGTCAGGGTCCTAAGGGGCTTGTCTTGTCTATTGTGGATGACCCGAATTCCCACCTGTATGCACCATGTTGTGTCCCATCGACAAGGCGCTTTGCATGGTGTGGGCACCTTGAGCACAGGTAGGTAGTGCAGGCTATAGTAGACTCCCCTAGGGGCCATGAGTCACAGAGCCACCAACCCAACCTTTCTCACTGTCTGTTCCCCCCCCAGGGTTTGGGGATTCGTGAGTCCAGCTGGTGGATGCGCAAGTGCTGTGTTGTTGCATTCACCAGAGCTTGACAGGTCACAAGAATTGTTGCCTCTTTGGACGTGTCCATTTCATTGTGTTGCGGAATGCTGTATTGCAATTGCCGGTTAATTGCTGCCATCATAACGTCAAAAGAAGTGCAAGGCGATGTTCAAAGAGTCCAGTAGGTTGTTCGTGTGAATGGGGAATGTGCACAGTCCCATGGAGGGAAAGCTCAGGGCCATTCTGCTCACCAGTTGCTGTCCAGGGTATCAAATGTGGGGCTAAGTTGTGTGTCTGCATCATGCTCAGGCGAGGATGGCATTCGCAGCCTGCTGACGAGGGGCACGCATCGAGAGTTCAGCTACCAGGCTCTGTTGACCATGCTGGTGTGGTATGGTGTTGGTGCTGCATTGGCTGCAGGGAGCAGCATATCCTCAGGCCTGTTCATCCCCATGATGATGATTGGCGCACTCATTGGGCGGCTGGTTGGGCTTATGACCACGGCGCTGGTGGCTGCCAGTACAGGTGGGCAGTGCTGCATCTGGGGGCATTCGATGAGTGCTGCAGTGTTCTTGCTGAAGGGGTGATCTTTTCAGCAGTAAGTGCACTGCAGGTCCTAAACCCAGAGTGCTATAAAGTCTGGAGCTGCAGCAGAAAAGGCAACAGTATTATTGTGTTCTCACATTGACGCAGGATGCACGCTGGACTGCAGAAATGCTGTACTGATCTTTGTTTGCATTTTTGCGCTGTTTGCATTGATTTGCGTTCATCAATCTAATGCACTATGTCATCGTGAAAATGCTGTTGCTTTGGTGAACATTATTGTTTGGAGTTTGCATTCGTCAGGATTTTACACATCGCAAATGCGCTTACACTTTCGAGGTGGCAATGTGATGGCCACTGTGCGGCACTATCACTGCCCAGTGCTGAATTCCATGCCTAAGTGTGATTTCATGACTCGACACTGGCACTGATGAAATGGATGTCAGAATGCATGTGCACGGGGATACTGGCTGCCTACAGCTCTCTTACTTTTGGTTTCCATTTATCCAAACTTGTGCACATGGCCTCCATGCACTAGCATGCAGCGCAGATGCAGACGTGCATCGTACTGCAGCCTTTGCAGTGCAGCATGCTGCAGTAGAGCTTGTTGCAGTACGCTGCAAGCCATTATAATGCAGTGGCATACAAGCAAACATACTCATGGCACTCCGCTCCAGATACCTGCTTGTGGAGTGCACACACTGGCATAGTTCCGGGGAGTACAACAGGATCGTCCCTTGTTCCATGTCACTACTCGATCGTCTGTATTCAGCCATTTTTTTGGGCGGACACTATGGTACTTTTTCTATTCCTTGCCACGAGCTCCCTTTCACATTTGTTGGAATTCTCACACAGGCATCATCAACGGCGTCTTCAGCGAGGACAGCCAGTTTGCCGCCATCGACCCTGGTGTGTTCGCCTTCATTGGTGCAGCAGCCTTCATGGGAGGTGTCACACGGCTGACTGTCTCCCTGGCCGTGATCATGATCGAGATCAGCAACGACGTGCACATGCTGCCGCCCATCCTGGTGGCGGTGATGATCGCCAAGTGGGTTGCAGACTCGTGGACGCACTCGCTGTACCACGGGCTGCTGGAAGTGAAGTGCGTGCCCTTTCTGCCGCCTCAACCCATCAGTAAGGACAGCCTGGACCTGATGGAGACTCGGGCGGTTATGCACAGCCCTGTGGTCACCATGCGGGAGCAAATGCGGGTGAGGGGCATGTGACATAATGACTGAAAATGACGCCGATACCTTCAGTGCTGTGGTGAATTAAGAGACTGTGAGCTCCGCAGTGCTGTAGTTCAGTGCTTTGAGCGTTTTTGACTGGGAAATTGCTTTGAGGACATATCAACAGAACATTCGGAGTGGGAGTCGAACATGCATACCGTGGTGCGGGGTGCTTTGTTGTCTTCAATGATGACATGAACAGATGGCATTGAATTGTGGCACGGCGTTTTTTTTGCGAGTGTCCAGGATATTATTTTCCAGATTAGTTAGATGCCTGCTAGTTGGACGGGACATGTACAGGTTTTAAGTAGAGAGGTAGGGTTGCTTGGGTGCGCAGAATATCTGGCGCATGAAATTCTGATGTTGGCAGTGTGTGCTCCAGTTGCCAACAGACAAGCTGTGCGTGCAAGCTGCAGTTTCAACATGATTCTTCTGCATGTTGGGGGTTTTTCCTTATCCGTTAGGTACAGGCCCTGCAGCTGCACATGTTGGTGTGGAAGTGTGTCAGGATCTATGTTAGACCTCTGAGAAATAGATCCCTGCGGTGGTGCATATGTGTGCGGCAGGGGTGGGGTTGGGGGAGCGGAGGGAGAAAGGAAACACTGGCCGGCGACGCTCTGGCGAGATCTGCAAGAATGTGCCTGAAGGTCATTGTGCCTTGCGTGCAGGTTGCAGAGATCAAAGAGGTGCTCCGGGAGACATCACACAATGGTTTCCCAATAATCCAAGACTCGCCACATGGGGGCGTCTTCGGTGGCCTTATAACGCGGCACCACTTGCTGGTGCTCCTTCGAGCATTGCGGTCCAGGGGCTCGACTGGGCATCTGTCGGTGTCATACGATGAGCTCAAGCGCAGGAACGTCACCGCAAAGGCCAGGCGGGAGGTGTCGGAGCAGCAGCGCGCCCTGCAGATAGGCAACAATGGGGACCACAGCGAAGGCGATTCGTCAGACGAGTTGCTGGACCTCGGGATGTACATTAACCGGTCGGCCATGAAGGTGGGGCTCAACTGCGACGACATGTGAGCGCTGCTGCTCTCTGGCAGAGGCTGTAGGCCTCCCAGTACTTTGGTTTTGGCGTCCTGACTGCATTGACCACTAAGGGGCAGCGATTGTGGCAACGAGACCACTGCAGTAACTGGATGCATAGACTGCAAGTTTTTCTCCAGGGCTGCGACCCTTGATCGGATTTGCGAACATATGAGCGAGAACTCCTCTTGCTGGTTTTGAAGAAATGGCACTCCTCCCCCACCATTTCTGTTCTGTCATGAATTCCTTTACCGCCGCAAGGATTTCGCAGCAGAATTGAAATAAGCAGCATCCTTGGACAGATTTCTGCAGCAGTGAATGGCTCACTGAAGATGTCGCAAACCACAAGATGCAACACCATAGCAACGCTGCCATCGATTTTGCTGCAGGGAATACCGTCTTGTGGTGGGAATTTACCGCTGGTGGAGTGTGTGTACACGGTGCCTGCAGGGGTCTGGAAATGTCACTTGCGATTGTTGCCTGTCTGGCTCGTTTCAGTTTGCGGCATGGTTGTGTTGTGCTCACGCGAGAATCGGTCGCTGCTGCGGCAAGCGAATGCCAGAAAATGTGGCGGACCTGTGGGCTGCATCGATTGCCAAAACCCAAACGAGATCTAGGGATGTGCAACCCGAATTCCATGGCTTCTCTTTGACGTCCAGTGTCAGCCTGTGCCCTGGTGTGGACAACAGCGAACGCGTGCAAGGGCAGTGATTTGTCACACGCCCGTGAATGTGCTTGCGAAGAAATTTGGGATAGTGGTCAAGCGCGTGGGAATGTTTGATAATGACTGTTGTGTTGATGAGTGTAGTGAATGAGAGTTTATGCCGCGGCACTGGCTCCTGTGTGCAACATATCATTACCTGAACTGCACTGCTTGTGCACGCGAACTAATTGCACTGGGTTCGCTGCCTTGACCACAAGATCGTTGCCACTGGCAGGTTCAAGAGTCTTTCTCTGTGGAGCGCACATACATCCTCTTTCGAACCATGGGGCTGCGTCATCTGGTGGTGGTGGACGAGCACAACCATGTCAAGGGTATCGTGACGCGGAAAGACCTGCTGGGCTTTAGATTAGACGACGCCGCCACCAGAGAGGAGATTAGAGGGAGCGGCGATTGGGACTTGTGATGAAGTGGGGATGGGGACGGCAAGGATGGGGGAAGCGGTGTTTGGGGCGCCGGGTGGGAACTGGCCGTTTGCACAGGGCCGAAGTGCACCTCGTCGGTTTTGTAGTTTGAGAAATGTACAGGTGAATGTGCGGATGACGTTTGGCTCCTGCAGAGACGACGGCTGGACTCTTGTTGGTGTCCCAGCAGCTGATTCTGATTGGGGAATGCATCATCTCACATTTCCTCATTTGCTCAAGCCGCCATGGGAAGTGGGTAACGCGAAGTCTCTCCAGGGCACTGGAGGCCCCAAGTCCCTGCAGGGCATGGATTTGTCTCACAGCTCGCGCCCCCTCTAGTGTTCGCCAACCCTGATAATGCCTCCCGAGGGGTGTGTGAACAACCACCGTGATTCTTCACTGAACTAATGCGCTGCCCTAATCGAGGATGGTAGGAGAGCTCTTCTTAGGAAACTTGCCGTCTACTGTCCATCCGACCCCGAACAAACTGGCGCGGGCCCCAACTGGCGAGCGCCAACCTGTGGGGCGGCCCAGGGGTATGCAGACCCACCGCGGAACGACCCGCTGGTGCCCTACGCCCCCGGGGCCCAGCCGGCCCGCCGCTCATGTCCATCCCCAGGGTCCCGGTGAGCGCTCGCGGGCGCAGGCGCCCTGTGGGCCATCGTTGGCCGCAAGCCACCCAATTGCTTCCCCTGGCGCAGTCCGCGTGCTGAGGGGATTTCGGACGCGGGCCTCGAGCCAGGGCGGCGGGGAGGCTTGGACAGGGCAGTGGGAGCAGCCGAGCCAGCCGCCGGTGAGCAGTGCCGAAGCGATTGAAGGAAAGGATTGCGGGTCGGCGTTCCCTGTTCGGGAGAGCAGACGACATTTGTCGCCCTGTAGAGGCGCCCTGCACCGGCGCATAGGGAGGGTTCTAGCGCCGAATCCGGCTGTTGCCACGTCCCAATTTTCTGTCTTTTTGGTCTCATTGCAGAGCGGGTCTTTGTTTTTGCCCGGTCTGTTGGTTGGTTCAGTTCAACCAAGCTGGACCATCTGGGGGTTGCTGTGCGACGGTGTTGTGACGATTGGAGACTTGCCATCACCGGACGGAGAAACAACGCTCTCCAGAGCTCTTTGTCGGTGGAACTTGATCATCAACGGCAGGCTGCTCATGTTGCAGGAGCAGTGGCCGCCGGGGGATCCGCAACCGCTGTGGCAGCGCCCCTTGTCTGTGCTCGGCATGCTGGTGGAGCAAGCGTGCACGATGGTGTACCAGCTGTGCCCGCCAGGGATCTCGAAAACCAACGTGAGTGGCTGGGGAGCCCTCCATCTGGCAAATTGTCTCTGAGAGAAGTTGAAACACATGTCATACGTTGGGAACCCTGGTACCTACTGTTCAAGAACGTTGGGAGGGCTCGCGTTTATGGCACAGAAGAAGGTGTAGCACGATGGGGTGGATGTCCGTAGCATGGCACAGCTGAAACACAGCTCTGTAGTGTGTGGAATACCATCGCATTTGTCCACAACATGTGGCAAAACAAATCACTGCAGCAGATCCGGGTGTGCACGAGTCCAGTTGCCATGTGCCAAACAGCAGGCACGCAATTGCTGTCTTCGAAGAAATGTGTGAAATTTGCAACAAATCCACTTCACCTGGGCTGTAGATCGCAGTGTTGCTGTACTTGTTACCGGCATGCAGTGGTGTGGCGCAAGGAGTGGTGTCATTAACTCTAAAATGTTGTTTTCGAAGTGTCTGCAGTCATGGTGGCCATGACGTGCTGTGGCATGTTTCCAGGTAGACTTCCTTGTGAAGGCTTGCTGTCTCTTGATGGGCCTGGTATTTGCCAAAAGCATCATATCGGTGAGCTGTGCTTTGTTGGATGACGGGCAAAATAGGGTCGACCTAGTGCAGGTTATGGTTCAGCCTAGTCTACGCTCAGTGCAGGGCAACCTAGTCCGAATTGAGGCTCAACCTAGTCCAAACTGTGGTTCAACCTAGTACAGCCGTATGGAGCACAGCTGTTTGATTGACCCTTCATTTTAGGATGTGATGGTCATGAAGGTCGTGTGAGTGTTTGGTTCGTAGTTTTTTTAGGGTTGTTTTGGGTTTTTAGCGTTTTAGGTTTTCCTTGTTTGCAGGGCCAAACTTCAATTTCGACTAGGTTGAACCTTATTTTGGACCAGTTTTCCCCTACACTGAGCGTGGACTAGGTTAAGCTTCAATTTGGGCTGGCTTAACCTCTACACCCTGGATGATATTCTCTCAGTGGCTGCAACGATGGCCAGAAAGAAACGACGTGTGGGCTCTTCTGCCACTTGCCTTTGTATTTGCAGTTGATGGTGCATTACCCAATGTTTGTCTGTCAATGTCCAAACCATGGTTTCATCTGTGCATGTGCTGGGCCCCCATTGAAAATGGCTCTGCAGACTCTGTCAAGCTTCTAGCTCATGGTCAGTGTGCCGATGGTGAAGATTCGCAACAGTTTAACTGGTTGACGAGGTGTCACCGAAACCGTGCAGGGCAAATGGTATTCACTGACCACGTTGACATGTGGTGGTTGCTCATGCTGCAGATGCTGATCTTTATGTTTGGTGGAGTGCTGATCTGCAGCTTTCTTTTTGGGGGATTTCGCAGACGTCAACAAGGTGAGATCCACAGTTTCAGAAAGAAAATATTCAAATGCTGTGACATCCTGTGGGAGCAGACAATGGGCCAGTTGCCCAGTCTCTTGGCCTCAAAGGAAAGAGTGCCAAGACAGCAATGCTGCCAGATTGTTGTTCTGGTGACTGGGCTCCAGAGTGGAATGCCTGTCAGTATCCAGTACGTGCTCAACTTCTGACTGCAATCTGCCACCTCATGCTGCAAGCCACGGGTGTCAGATGATTGCACAGAACTTCATGCTGAGAGCAGTCTTTTGTCTACAAGTTGCCATTGATCAGAAGGGCGACATAATGAGACCACAACATGTTAAGAGACACCGTGTATGGTTGAGGCCTTTGAAAAGCATGCACCAAAGCGCACGTGCCCGGGCTGCTCCAGTGCTTCCAAACACTGTCTTTTCCCATTGTTCCAGTCATCTCCAGTGCAATGGGTCCATATTTATTGACGATCGCAGCCTTGGCTGCGAAGTGCTGCAGCAGATGTTTTTGTTGTTTGCCAGATCCGCGAAATAATGATGCTACACCAGGATGGGAACCACCAACGTACGATGTCCCATTCCAGAGCCCCCGCTCGGAGTTCCGTGGCCAGTCCTATGAGTTGAGGAAGGACCTGCTGGACGTCTGGAAGGAAGACAGTTGACTGGGGATGGTGCACAAGTGGGGTGGGAGGGTGGGCATTCTCTTGTACGAGATGTACTGTGTGTTTTTATGGTGAACTGCAGGTTTTGCAAGGAGCAGACATCGGAGAATCGTTCTGATTATATTGACACAGCCCCACCGTCAACTCTCTTGCCGCCAATGTCAATTGCCTGTGAAAGTCGATTGCCAACAAAATCAATTGCCTATGAAATGTGCACAAATATTCAGGGATCCAGTTGAGGACCCAGTACTTGATGGGGGCTGCACTATCACCCCCGGGAAAACAAGTCGAGTTGTTGAAGATTCCAACAAGAGTCTAGATTGCCCACACACCCGCCCAGAAGAGGTGCATCCGCATCTGCTGCGGGCTGCCACCTCGCTCCAACATCCTAGCCCCCATCAGACCATTCCACTGTCCTGCCTGCCTTGATGCTGGCAGTGAATTTCTCCCATGCCTTACGAAATTTGGGCAGCGGCTTCGAATCGTCATCATAGCCTCCCTTCTGGCAGTCCCATCCGCAGCGGGCGCACTTCGCGCTCCAGTCTTCGCCTGTAGGCACCACCGTAGCTGTTGCTGACACAAATCGGAAGCCTCAATGCCATAAAGACTCACAAAGGCGCCCAGCAAACGGGGGCAACTGCACCAAGCCCTTGTCGGGGGGAAAACGGCCCCAGTGAGGCCAGCATAGTTTCGGTCCCTTCAGAGCACGCTTTTGTCACAGTGTTCTGCTATTATCTAAATTTTGTCCGCCCTTGCTGCTTGCTGACGCCCTTGGAAACATTCCCCAAAATTCCCAATCGTTTCAAAATCAAAATCAGCACCAACGGCAAATACATTTTCCCCATGGCGCTCAGCACGATGACCCTTGATCTCGCTTACTTCGTAGTTTAGCACAGTTTGACGCCAAATGCACCAAAGTTGTTTCCAAGCCACCTATAAGGGGGAGCTCTACTTAAAATATGCCACGGCACACGTCCGCCTTGCGTCGGGTGCTGGCTTCAAGAAATCTGCCTATGGATGCTACAGTCATGCAGTGCCTGGAACGAAGTCACCAGGAAGCACAAACTGTCAGCACTTGTTGTGTGTTGGCATTCAATTGTGCAGTAACCCATCGCTGAGACTTGTAAGCAGATCTGTTGGCATTGTACTTGTACCCTGACACTAAGCTCAGGCTATTCTAGCAGCTGATCAACATAATGTGTTCAGCAAACATCTTCCACAGCAACACCAAGCCCAACTTGTTGTGAGCACTGCCATCATGCCCTTATGGCCCAACGAAGCGCTACTACAGAAGTCGAGCTGCAGATCTGTGGGATAGCTATGCAACCAAAGGCAACGGTTGCCAGTGGGATACAGGGCCTGTAATGTGACTCGACGATCATCAATCGGGTCAGAGTCGCAGCGTGCCCAACAGTCACTGGCAGGGTGGTTGCAATCCAGCCAATTGTGCATCAAGGCATTGCCTGCTGAGAGTAAGCAGCGCAAGATGCCACTGCTGGCCAAAGCGCACCCAGAATACGGAATCGCTCTGGTGACATCATGAGTTGCACAGGTGCGCTGTGTTCCCACTCACCAAGCCACCAGGGACATCCACACTTCAAACAAGGCATCTTTGGCCAGAACGTGGCCACGCCCTTCTTGTCAAACTTCCTGCTGACCCCGCTCTTGGCCTGCTTGCCAGTGGGAGGGTCCCACACAGATGTCGACTCCGCTGGAGGCATGGCTTGGACATCTGAGCCCGTCCGTAGAGAATCTTGTGCTGCATCGTGTTGGCTTCGCACTGGAAGGGAGCGAATGCAGATGCACAGGCAAGGTGAGGCCATTTAAGGAATGGACGTACGTTCAGGCGTTGTTTAGACGTGGCTGTGCGCAGGTTAGTGTGCCCAATTCGTTACTTCAGCTGGTTGGTGCGATTCCTACTCCTCCACAGCAATAACAGCAGGATCAATGACATCTGGCACACAGCAAGGTACATCTCAATGCCCTGATTGATACAGAACAGCTGGCACATGCGACACCATGGGCCTCACAATTCTGCTCAGGTTTGCACACAAGTGGTCAACGTCATTGGTGGAGAGAAAATGCACAGCCTGGTGCGCAAAGGCCAAGACCTCACCTCTGTCCACCAACTTCTCCATCTTGGGAGGATCCACATCCTCCACGTGTCGTACCAGCTGGAACTCACGATAACAGTGGGCTGTCAGGGGGGATTTAATCTGGAGGCTATCAGCCAGCAACTGGTTTGGCCCTGATGTGGAGGGGTCTGCCGTGGCAAACAGCACATCTGCATGCAACTCTGCGAGGGATTCCATTGCCTGCATGACCTCTGCATGGCCATCAGGTCTGCCCAAAGACCACAAGACGATGAGGCTCTGGCTGTGCTCCTTTGCGCCCTCCAGCATTCTCTTCAGTTCTGAAGCACCCTGTGTCAGCTCCCCCACACGGAGGGGCAGGCGCGGCGTCTCCGGCACTGCCAGCACTGCCTGCGGTGTGCCAACGGCGGGGCTCGAAAGTGAGCTCTCATCCTCCGTGCGAGGTGTCCCTTGGCCTGAGTAGCCGCCCTGGTCCAGTTCCAGGATGCGGGGCGCCTGTCGCGGTGTCTCTGGGATTGCAAGTGACACTTGCGATGTGCCCGTGTTGGGATCGCGAGGGGGCAGCCTCTGAGGTCCAACGTCGTCCCCTGAAAGGGGGGGGTCTCTGCTCATGACCTCCTTGTCAGGGGCGGCTGCAGCAGCAGCAGAGACTGCGGCAACGGGGCCAGAACTTTCCGGTGCCGCATGTGGCTGCGCCTCTGTTTCTGTTGCATGGCTGGATTGCATGGGCTGCATCGTTTGCTTGCGCTGGTGCAACAGCTGTTCCAAATCCCTTGTGCAGCCTTCCCCTGAAATAGCCCGCACAGGTTGCAAACTAGGGGGTTGATGAATCGTTACACAGGGGAAACGCTCTCCTGACTTCAGCACAGGGTGCGCTCCTCTGCGCCTGGAGTCACTACGCCTCGTTACCTGCAATCCAATATTCGAACTTATATTTTGTTGGAAACGGAGGATGGAGTCAACGATCAAGAGCTGGCGCTACTGAGAAAAGTGCTTGTCCAAGTGCTGTGCAATCACGAGCTTGCAATTTCCCAGCTACGACTGCCTCCAGATATTCATGGAGTCCAGGAGACCACCATCCCAAGAGTACGGTGTACAGTTGGGGATCCGGCAAGCCGACGAACAAGGGAGGTTGTCATGAATAACAAAATTCACTATAGAGAAATCGCAGCTGCAGATTGAGATTGCAAACTTTGCGCTGAAACTCCTAGATACCAGCTGTGCTGCCATTTACCTTCTCCATTGCAAGTGCTCGGTTATCTTCGTTTGAAGTGACGTCTATCCGCATGAACAACACATCACTGTTCTCAGTGGCGAAACAATCCAATCGTTTTGATGCAGCTGCACTATCTTGGTACCAATCAGCATGCCACTGAATGATGGCAAGATCAGTGGTGGCTTCATCGAGAAGCCTCTGTGCATCGCGACCCCCTCCTTCCACCTGCAATTCACAAAAACTCAGCTCGATCTCAGTGGACCTCTCAAATGCTGCTCATCGCCCCACGCAGAACTTGCAAAACAAAATAGAGCATGAAACATAAGAAAACATGCAACACAAAACATTGCCCATTTACATGAATGCTTGTCGTACTCTACTCAGGGACTTCTGCTGTGCAGAAGAGTCCTGCAAACAACTGGGTCTTGCAGGGGCCCATTCCATGATAATTTTTCCTGCCTGTTCCACCGGAACTACGTTTCCAGCAAGGTTGTAGTTGCAGCTCCCAAGGCGATGTGGGGCAGTTGTGAAATGCTCCAGCACACAAATCGTGGTCGGACGCGAGGCAATTTGCAAGGAGGGCACCCCAGACTCACATCCATCACACTCCCAGGTCTCCATCTCTCAGGCGTAGCAACCTCTCTCTCAACAGTTGAGCTGGCCTCTCTGCTCTGTGCCAACTCATCCAAAGCACCATCGTTTCCCACTTGGGGCTCTTCATCTTCATGGGACTGTTCTTCTGAATCATCGTCGTCTTCCCCTTCACCGTCGTCGCTTTCACTCTCTTCGTCTTCTTCCTCATCTTCCACAGACATACCGCGCTATGGTTAGTTTGGGTCAACCTGGACCTCACACTCTATGGTGACCAAGCTGGACAGTTGGACACATGCAGACTCGTGCCCGCCATCCACTTGCAGGTGCACGCCCTGTCCTTGGCCAATTTTATAAAATCATCTCTAAAGTGTTTGTCCACACAGCCTGCATGGGCAGTTCTCAGGGCAGGAACACAGGGCCCGATTTACATGTTATGATGTTGGGCGTTGTAACATGTGATAAAATTTGGGCACTCATCCATTGCTGCCTTTCATGTCCAGCTCACAGATGTCTGGTGTGTGACATGTATTGTAATGGCCTAAACATGAAGCGCATGTTCTCCCAAGTCCTGTACATTTTGTACCATGTTTTCCCGGGCACACACTGGCCGTGGTAATTGGACCAGTGTGGTTTGTTCGCGCATTGGCAGGACGAACCAGCCGCCTTGGGGGCGGCATGCCCATGGCAACTTCGATGTTTTTCAAATTCGGCTTGGCACAAACTTTGACGGCAATTTGCACAGCGCTTCATCGCCAAGCAAGATGAGAGCTGTCATAATGAAATATAATTGGCTGAGTGTACGGGAGACAGTTCCTATAGCTGCATGTGCCCATGTCCTATTGAACATGTGCTTCAAGGTGATAACCGAAGGCAGTGTGCATCAGCATGGGTCAGAAACACACACAACACAGTCACCACATCACTCACCATAATCCAACAACTCCTCAATGGATGGCCACACATTGAAGGGATCATCGAGTGTCTTCACAGCCTTCATCTCCTCATCAGTGCACAGGCAAGCATCCAACATCTTGTTCAGCACTGCTTTGTTCATGTCAATACCAATGAACACCAGTTCCTGCCTGCGGTCACCGATGCCATCCACGAAATCCTCTTTAATGGCAGCTATCTCCTCTGGCTCACTGGGCCATGCATCATCGGGGAGGCTGCAGTACCAAGGACCACCTGCGGACAGGGAAAACACAAGTCTGTTTTGAGCACAACGGCATCAGCAGATGGTGACACGTCGCCAGTGCTGGTGCCACCATTGGCACATGCTCCACATAGTCAGTCGCAGCAATGCAGCTGTGCACAGCTTCGCTCACCAGGTGACGTCGTAGCAAACACTGAATTTGATGACAGTCAGTAAGGATTAATGCAGCAAAGCTAAACCTTCGACAGCATAGCAAGGCTCTTGCACCCAAGGCTATTCGCAGGAACCAAGATTTCACTATTGCCATAGGGGCCACAAGAGAGTGGGTAGAAGAAGATGTGCAGATCTGTGGTCACACTGCCTCTCTGCATTTGCAGATACTGTGCAGATTGTAGAGCACTGAATTCGCAGTGCTGCAATTCCTGCCAGGCACACAAACCAACAGCTGGATCGTGACCCAGTGATGGTTTATTGCTATATGGGATGTAAACAGCATGCATTGGTCGATGTGGCACACAATATCCGCACCAGACGCACCTGTCGAGAATTGCATGATCTGCCCCGCTTGGTTCCACTCAGCACAAAGATCACCCCTGGTTGCCAACCATGCAAGCCCTTTCGACCTTAGCACAGCACAGAGAGGTGCTTCCCTTGCAGCCACCCCCAGGTTCTTATCTCCAACATTCCCGCCCTTCGAATTCATGCCGAGGTCATAAACCACGGAGGCTGCAAGGGCAGCTGTAGAGGCAGCCGCATTGGCGGCACAGGCAGCCACAGCCGCCTGCGGATTGACTGCGCCCGAGTTCTGCAGGAACTGCACCACAGCCTGTGCTGCCTCTGCAACACGATCAGCCACTTCCTGAAATTGTGCACTGCCCGTGTGCTGTGCAGTGGCCTGGCCTGGTTCGCTGCCCATGGTGCGTGCTGCAGGTGCGCGAGCCCAGATGCCACTGTCGCTGGGAAGTGCCCCATGTGATCCCTTTTCATCCTTGCCCTCTGCAAAGTTCTCTTCCAGCGGTGGCTCTCCTTGTTGCTGCAGCACAAAGTTGGAGCAAAGGAGTGTGTACAGCCTGCGGGGGTGAAAGGGGCGACGGGAGCTGTACACAAAGCTGGAGACGCCGTATTTTGTCGCCGGCGTCCCACGATCAAGGTCGCCTGCCTTGATGGCTTTCAACCATCCTGCGGATGACTGGGCCTTCTCAAAGCTGAACCTCCCTGTGTTAACCACCTGTCCGCAGACATTCACTGTCAGCACTGAAACAAAACTGAAGTCGCCAGCCACATTGCCATTTGCTCCCTTCAGGAGGGGTCGCCTGCCCCATACACATGCACACAGGCTGCACGAGTACCCAGACTTACCACATTCCAGGAGTGCAAGTCGACAAGGAGGGTTTTTTGAGCAACATCAGACGAGTTCCCAATGAGAAAGTTAGGCACGTATCCATCCCTCCTGCATATGGCCCCAAAACAGCAAGCCACTGGCAATCTCAATTGCGTGCAACCTGCTTGTGACACGTGCAGAACAAGCTTCCACACGAAGGCACTAATCACAAAGATGATCCACAGTGAAGAGTTGATGCTGGCAGTTGGCCTTGGTTAACCAAAAGCACTATGAGCTTTCTACAATCACAGGGAGCAGTAATCCAATTCCACATATTAAAAGCCATCGATCGAGCCACAAGCGGATCTCACCTTCTTCAAATCGACTTTCGAGAATGATGTTGGAATGATTTCAGCATCAGAGTTCAAAGCCCGCAACAAGCCATTCATCCTGCACTGGTCATCCCATGACACCAGGTCCACCTTATTGAGCAGCAGAACATCGGCAAACTCGATCTGCTCCACCAGGAGGCCCACAACATTCTTCCCATCGTTTGTGCTGCCACCCTTTCCTTCCCTTTCTGCCATAGTTTCTATGCTGCTGAAATTCGACATCATGTTGGCGGCATCCACAACTGTAACGCATGTGTCCAGCTTTGCGATGTCTCTGAGGGGATTTTGTCCCACTCCACAGATTAGAGTGAACGTCTCAGCGACCTGAAAGCAATGGGCAACGCCTCCTCAGCACCTCGTTTCAATGTCACCTTGCACCAAACGAATATTCATTTCCCAGTCTTTGTGACAATCTGTCATTGCCATCATGGCACAGACGACTCCACAATCAACTGGATGTGAGTGCACCGGTTGGTGCAATAGTGTTAGAATGTGATTCTCTGTATGGACTGCGCATATGCTGCCAGGCACGTTTGTCCCCTAACAAGTTCATGAGTGCATGTGCTATTGCTCTAAACTTGCCCTAGAGGACATCAAGGCCAAGAAAGGCTATGTGGGGCAACATGTTGATGCAATGCCCAACAGGAGGTGCGCCAATTTACAGGGAATGACTGCTCAACAGTGATCAATCAGAAGGGATGAGGCGCAGTGCTGACCAAGACAATGGATTGACCATCTTATAGAACATGCTGAAGATGGCAGTCTGTTTTGGTGGCAATACCACGTGTTCTTCTTCTTTGCTTCCATTTGTCACTATATCATACATCACTGTCCTTATTGCCATGCCAGGGCAGTGCCATGTGCTCAAGAACAACATTGGACAAGCCTGCCAGGAACCGAGCCCAAGCACCTGCATGGGCTCGGCAACACCAGTGCTCTCTATCACCAGGTGGTCAAACCTGCCATCCCTGGCTAGGCCTGCCACTTCCTCCAGCAGTTCGTTTTGAAGAGAGCAGCACATGCAACCATTCTGCATTTCAATGATACGATCATCTGCCTGCAGAAGAAACACCCATAACAGTGAAGCAAGCAACAAATGAAATAGGCCATCTGGGTACTTTTAAATATTAAACCCTTCCGCAACAGAAATTTCACCGTTATGCTTTTGCTCCGCATTTTGTTTTTCACAGCGTTATTTCTATATTTTTTACGTTGCTCCGCACAGAAAGGCCAAGATTGCGTTACTATTTATATTATTTTCTCCACGAAAAAAGACCAACCGTTATGTTACTATGCGGAAGGGGTTAATATTTTGCAGTATAGCAGCACCAAGAACATGATTGCCCAGACACAGGCCAAAAGGCAACCCTTGGCAATGTACATTCACTACATCTCACTGTACAAGTGCACCTGGGGCACAGTTGTGCAGCAAAGAGAGGCCTACTTGATAACTAGCACACTTTATGGTAAACATTCCGCAAGAAAAGGTTAGCTGCATGCGGAGTGGCAAAGAAACATTGTGTGGAGCCTTCAGGCTGCGCAATGCAGCTCCGAGCAAGATTCGATGGAACCCACATGGAACCCACCCGTATCAAGCTGCTATTCTGCAGTATTTCCTTGTCAACATTGACTGCCGCGATGTCATTCACAATCACTGCAACCTTCAGATTGTCTCTATTCTGTAAGATGTGCTTCACCAGGGTTGTTTTGCCGCTCCCTAGAAAACCGCTTAGCAGGGTCACGGGCAGAGGTGTAACCGGCTGTGTGCGAAGCCCTAGCCCCCTGGAAGGAAACCTGTCCCCCTGCCATGTGCACGCAAAATCAACAAGTCCACTTTGAGCTGCTCGCTCCACATCGTCCGCCAATCTGGAAAGCATGCCAGCCCAATCTGCAGGGCAGCTGCTGTGCAGGTCCTTTGTTGACACCCATGTGCTTGAAGGACGCTGTGCTGTTGGCAAGGCTGCGCTTGTCTGCATAGCGGCATACACTTGGTGAATCCGTGGTGTGCTTCCTGCCTCATACCTTGCCACTGGCAGGGTGGGCAGGAGCACGAAGGAGCCAGGGGGCAGCTGCTGCCCTTCGACAATGGACCTGCAGAACGTGGTGCACATTTGTAAGGAGCGCCAATGGTTTCTGGGCTTTTTCAACCAACGACCTGAACGATAGCTTTTATGCATGTTGGGAGATCGAGCAAAAGAGAAAACGACCAGTAGTTGTTGATCTCCAATAAAATTAGTTTGCTTGATGGGTAATCTCTTGGCAGGGCTGCATCAATTGATAGACACAGTAGGCAACCCTCTTGTGCTCAGCAAATGTGTCCCCTTGTGACATTTCGCCCAAGCCCTTCTGTTCTTCCTGCATACTCTTCTGCTACTATTTGTGCTTCATGCTTTGCTCACCTTGAAGCTGCAGCTTTCTCTGTTTCCAGATTCTTGGACAGCACTTCTGGAACTGGCAGCTCATCTATGCCACTCCTCAGAAGCATCTCCAGATCGCCGTTGGGATGTGGCCTCACCAAGGCACCTCCAAACCAGCGCTCTACCAGGGACGAATCAGTTGCCGGGTTGCGAGCCAGGCTCGTCACCAATGCCTGGGAATAGCGACGACGAATCACTGTCTTGCACCTATTCTTTCTGTACTGTACTTCCAGCTCATGTTGCTCCGGTAGAGAATACACACTGTTGCAATATCTACTGCTAATGTCAACTGAACTGCAGACGTGGCAGATGAGGAATCCAGAGAGGATTCCATATGCCTGACATCTTGCCACTGATCAACGATAGTGCCTCGTGAACTCAAGCATCGACAGGACCAAGCTCGGGGCACCCAGTCAATACACCCACTCTGTCATCGTTGTCTGTTCTATTCATTCAGCCCAGGCTGCGCCCCTGATGCGCAGGAAGCAGGGCCTGCGTAGTCATCCACCCACCTCATGAGCATCCGCTTTAGCCCAGGAGCGCCCAACCTGGAGCTGCATCTGACCATCGCATGAACCGACCCTCCCTGGAACAGTACGTTTGATGCACGGCGTCAGATCCACAGCTGATTTTTGCCACACGGTGATAGAATCGCGAGGCCGAATGCAAACACTCAGCTGCACAATTTTCCATGCGCTCGTCTGCTAAGCACGCCGTCCATTAAACGATCGCCACCACGAGAATGGCTGCCAGGGCAACCGAGAAGGCTCAAGGTCGCCGTGCCACGGCCGCGGGGCGTTTTGCGGGTCCTGCCCGGGCGCCATGGCAACAGCAGGCCCCTTACTAATGGGACGTCATGCTGCCCCTCCCGCTCCATCGAGCCCATGCTCTGCGGTCCACGTCAGCGGCCGCACAAACGGCGTCCAGGCCTCCCGACGAGCCCAAAGAGCCCGCAGAGGATCCAGCGCTGGCAGCGCCACTTTCTCGCCCCCTCGACGCGCATCCACACCACAACCCCCCTTTGCGCCCCACCCTCACCCCCAAATGCCATGCGGCCATCACACGGCACGGCGACGCCAACGCAAGCGCGGCGTCCCCGATCAGAAACGGCCCCGACCCCGGCACCCCCGCCCGCGTGCGCCGACGGAAAATCCACCGGACCGACGCCCCATCCCCCCCCCCAACCACGCCACGACATCCCGCCCGCCCCCCCTCCCCGCGACAGCCGACAGGACCGGCGGCCAATGCCCGCCGCCATTGCGCGCACGGCGCCCCCAGGCGCCCCCACAACTGAGCCACGGCCCCCACCCGATATCCTGTACGCCTGGCCCTCCTCCATGCCCCCGACGTCGCCGTCCACGGAGTACAGCACCAGCGCGTATCCGGTGCCGTCGGCCACGCAGGCCGCCAGCTGGCCCTGGGGCACCCGTCCGGCGGTCGGACCCGCGCGGTGCACGGCCACCGCCAGGTCGTCGAAGCAGGTGCCCAGGACGAGCTCGTGCAGCGCCACCATGGCCCCCGCCCCCCCGGAGTCTGGACCGCCGTCCGGGCGGCCGCGCCGCGGAAATCCGGGGATTCCGCTGACTTATGGCAGAATCGTAGTCCCCCCGTGGGGCCCGCGGCTCGCGCACCCGATGCGCATGAGGTGGGGATGTCGTGAAAATACGCCTGGAGTTGGGGCTCTCGACTCCGGATGCTGGTGCTGACGGCCCTAAGGCCCGCCTTGGCGCACGGGTGGCTCGGTCACGATTTTGTCGTGTTTGTTGCGAGTTGTGAAACCTGGTCGCCCGGTGGTGCCGCTTGTTGGGTTGTTGCCTGCCGGTGGTCCTCTGGTGCGTTGGCTGCGGGCTTGGGAGATCATCTCCTGTCGTAGGGCTGGGCGCGGAGGTCGCCGATCGGTGATCGAGGCGACGGAGGGGAGGGGAGGCATGGAGGGGGAGGGCGTGCCCGGCCTGGCGGCGGAGGTGCGGCGGAGAAGGGGTGCGGGGGGTGGGGGGGGTGGGGGGTGGGGAGGGGCGTGCGCAGGGATTTGTGGCGGGGATGGGGTCGGTAGGTTGGCGTAGGGCGCGTTGGGACCGCCAGGGTGGGGCGGGTGGCGCGAAGGGGATGCGGTTTCCGTGCTGGGCGTTGCCTTCGCGCGGCCGGCGATCGATCGGTGAATGAGGCCCCGCTTTGGTGCGGTGAAATTGATGCAGCGGGTTGGCGTTGATTGTTGTCCCGGACGAGTGCGGATGGAGGCGGGGGTTGCGGCGGCGTTGTGCATGCGCTCAATCCCGCTGAAGTGCTGAAGTGCTGCGCATTCCGCCCGTGAGAGTCGGGACGAGAGGTCAACCTCTTCTGCAAGGAAGGGAATTGGCTTGGGGACAGCACTTACTCCATCCACCCTTTGCTGTTGACCACCTCCAGCGTTGACCCAGCTTCACTTGCCTGCGTCCATAAACCACCGTGTCACTTGTCTGTGTCCATACGAGCTGATCATGCACAATCGCTTGCCGCACCTGCGGGCTACCCGACGGAGCTCAGTGCGGTTGCTGTTGAATTATCTTTTTGGCATTCTGCCCATGGATAGCTCTGTTGTGCTCCATGAGAAGTTGCTGACCCAAGTTGCCACTCAACCTTGGTCATCATCGAGGTTGGTGAAATATGCAGTGCAGAAGTTCTCTAAATAAATTGGAAAATTTGTGCCATGGGGCTGCCTGGCAGCCAGCACTGTCCGTTGCCATGTGGTTCAGGCACACACTCGTTGTTGGGGATGTCGATGTGAATGTCATGGGGCAAGATCTCCAGTAATCCACCTGTTTAGAATTGGCGTGATGGCAAATACACACAGGGACCAAGAAGTGAAAGCAAGCGGAGAAACTCAGCGATTGTTAAGCCAGTGTGTTCAGGGAATGTTGTGTCCAACACAAAACGGCAACGATATGTTAGGGACACTTGTTGTTGTGAGCAGGCGGTATTGGTGAAGTCCGAGCAGCTTCCTGAAGGCACGCCCCAAATCAGAGGGTACGACTTTTCCCAGGGCTGCAATCTCGACCACCTTATGGATGCCATGCTTTTCAGCGGGTTCCAAGCATCCAATCTTGGAAAAGCTGTGCAGGAAGTCAACAACATGGTGGGTGTGATTGGGCACTGATGAGCACAGCTTCCAATGTCTGGGTAATCGATGCGAACAACATATGCATTCTTCCTGCTCAAATAGCTCATCTGGCACTTTCCTATTTCTAACAATTCATCAACGAAAATACCTGACGAGGAGACCAAAATCAAGCAGCACAGAAGCCATCAAAAATCTTGGTCATGAATTCTTTAGGGGAGTTTGATTTGGAGCAACAAGCACAGGTCTCCCTTGCCCTCAAGTGATGTACATGCTTCTGTGGCAGCCATCCAGACGTGTGCGCACAGAGGTCGGGCAAATTTGACAGTCACCTGCCTTGAGGTGCAGAGCGTTCCTGCAGTGTGTTTCACAACTGGGCCAGTTGACTCACCATGATAGTTTTTCCCAGTTGTGAGGAATATCAAGGTTGGTATGTGTGCATTTGCAACCACAGTCACACACGATCACGTGCTGGGCACATGCTCAAGACCATATCAGCTGTCTTGGCTGTTAAATGTGCATTCAGTCTACCGACTTGTTCAATCTGTTGCGCACCCAGGCTGCTTGGCTTGCCGTCGACAGCCCTCTGATCGCACGAGTCCAAAAACACTGCTGTGACACTTCGAGGAGATGATGGCCGCTTGGGCGTGTTGTTGAAAAAGGGGGCGTGTCCAATTGCCAGATCAAGTGGCGCCTCAGCGACGATCCGTTAACAAGCGACACGAGCCCAGAGCACGCCCTGCCTGGCTTTCGGTCCAAGACTCGGACCAAGATCTTCCTGGGCTTCACCTCTAACCTGGTCTCTGCCGGGGTGCGGGAGCAGATCCGTTACCTTGTGCAGAACAGAATGGTCGATGTTCTGGTGACAACTGCCGGTGGGGTGGAGGAAGACCTCATAAAGTGCATGGCGCCGACGTACCTGGGTGACTTCAGGCTGAAGGGCGCGGAGCTGAGGGTGAAGGGCCTGAACCGCATTGGTAACATGCTGGTGCCGAACAGCAACTACTGCGCCTTTGAGGAGTGGATCATGCCCATACTGGACAAGATGTTGGTGGAGCAGCAGGAGGACGGGGTCAACTGGACACCGTCGAAGGTGAGCCACTGATGTGGGCAGCAGGATGAATTCTTTGGAAGCGTTTGCCTGTACAAGGTAAAGCGGTGCTCCTGCAGCTTGCAGGTGACATCGGGGATCTATGCATCAAAGACGCTGACTTGTTCCCCTGACAGGTCCTTGGCTGGGGAGATTGGCAGCTCTGTTTGTGTGCTTTTGTGACTGCTTGGTTCGACCTGCAACCCTTTGGGCAACGGGCACCATCCACTCTCAGTAGCCTGTGGCGGGTGTTGTGTTGAGAGGAAAGGCAGCTTTGCCTTGAAAACAAACTGGGAGCATCAGTTTGCAGGGGCCATTGACCTCGAAAATTGATTATTGTGTCTAAATCCCAAAGACCAGCGACGGATTTACTGGGAATCAGGCAGTTCTTATCTGCCCTCAGCTTTTGTTGTGGTGGCCTCCAGAATTGTCTTATGGCAATTCAGGATTCCCACTCGAATCAGCCATGCTGCCAACTCTTGTCTGCCAAGTCTTCGAATTCACAACTCTTGTTTTTGGCAGTCTGTGTGGCTCTTTTGCAAGTCGGTTACAGAGCTTTTGTGACATTATCTTGCAGCAACCTTGTTGCTATAGACAAGCAATGGCACCCCTTTGCCATCGCTGTGGGGATCCTGCTTGTTGGTCCGGTCGCCTTGATGCGCTTCATGCTGACCATGCTCCTTTCCTGCTGCAGATGATTGATAGATTTGGCAAGGAAATCAATAATCCTGACTCGATCTATTACTGGGCGCACCGGAATGGAATTCCAGTGTATTGCCCGCCCCTCACAGACGGCTCCATTGGCGACATGCTGTTCTTTCACTCTTACAAGAAACCTGGGCTACGCTGCGACATTGTGGAAGACATTCGAAGAATGAATGACGAAGCCTTGAAAGCAGCACCCAGGAGAACAGGTGTCATCATTCTTGGAGGAGGTTCGTGATTCCTGATTGAAGTGAAGTTGCTTCAACATGCCCAGCACAAGGCAAATAACGCATGGCATGCGCAAAGGGATCCATTGTGCTTGAAAGAACAACTGCAGCACTGCCATTGTTGTGTCTTTAAAAGGGATTTATACATTGAAGGCTTGTGTTTTGTAGTGTGCATAGCTGCTACACCAGTTCGTTGGCTGCGCATGCCCAACTCTTCGTTCAAGTTCGTATCTGTCCATGTGTAGTTCACCAGGTTGATGTCATTTTGGACAAGTTCATTGTGTTGATGTAGTCCCTGAAGATCTGTTTGCATGATATGGCACAGGTGTCTTGCTCAGTCCCTGTTGGCCCCGCCACCCAGCATAGTGCTCAGTCTCCAGACCTTGTCACACAACCTGTTTTCATCTTCACCTTGCTGATAAACACAACATAATAGTACGCTGTAACACACGTCGATGTAGTCAATCATTCATGGTGTTCATGAACAACACTCACAGCTCCCTTCAGCCTGAAACAAATTGCTTCGTCACTCTACTTGCTGGCGGCTTATTAGCTCAGTGCAGCATAACCATCCTCACACACGAGCCAAATTGCCCACACTAGTGTGCCGCATTTGTGCTCACTAGCGCTCAGCAAGGCAGGCGGTGACCCCAGATCATTGTGCACGCCAGGAGTTCCGAAGCACCACATATGCAACGCCAATTTGATGCGGAATGGGGCGGACTACGCCGTGTACGTCAACACAGCACAGGAATTCGACGGGAGCGACTCTGGCGCCCATCCGGACGAGGCGGTTTCCTGGGGCAAAATCAAGATGACCGCCACGCCTGTCAAGCTGTGCGGAGATGCGACCATCCTGTTTCCCCTCATAGTGTCACAGACGTTTGCAAAGGAGGAGCAGTCGTGGGCGCGTGGCTGCGAGGATGCCCCTTGAAGTGAGAGGTTGGGTCCGCTCGTTCGCGAACAATGCAGGGGCATTGCTGTGTCGGGTAGTTGGGGGTGAGCTGGGCAAGTGCCGCATGTAGCTTTGCTGAATGAGTGAGGGAGGATCCATTGTGGGCGGCGCCGATGGCGAGCTGGGTAGCCATCCAAACCATGAGAAATGCTGGATTCGCTGTCGATCTGGTGGCTTTGCACCCAAGCACAACGTCACGGCTGGTGAGTTGGCGCTCCCCATTCTGCAGGGTTGCAATTGCCATAGGGAAAAATGCCCAAAATTCGGTATGTGTCATTGCGGACCATTCATCGCGAAGAGCATTGCTTTGTGTATTTGTTAACCCCGGACGATTGTAAAACACTGCCGTTTGTGTGTTCCCAAACGCCCAAAATATCTGGAGGAGGTGCACGCAGCTCGGCGCAAAAAACACTTACCCGATGCGGCCAATCACCGGCACAAATCATGCCCAGGTCGCCATTCGGACCAGCCACGGCACCTCGCCTCACACCCCACCCTCGAAACTGACCTGCTATGTTACAAACAATTGTCCCCCAACATCGAACAACAATAGTCATAAAATGAATCAACGTCCAATACTTCCCGGTCCCCGCCCCTCCCAATGATCCCATCCGCCCCCCCCCCCCGCGGGCCTAATACCACGGGTGCCAGGTCGCTTCCATCAGGCTGAGGTAGTGCGGCTGCGCGGCGGTCTCCACCAGCTCCCGCGCCCCCCGGTTCACCAGGCCAGGGGGCCCAGCCTCGGGCTGTCCGGGCAGCTCCGGCCGCAGGTGGCTCAGCTGCTCCAGCGCCCCCCGCACGTTGTTGTCCACGAGCAGCCTCAACTGGTCGCTGTTCAGTGCCACCTCCCGCGACCGGCTGGTGCGCCGGGACGACCATGCCAGGAGCTCGTCGCGGAAGAACATGGCCAGGCAGGACCGGATGTTGCTGTGGCGGCGGAACGCGGCCTCCGCGGCGACGACCATGGCGGTGATGAAGACGCCCTCCACGCCGAAGGGTGTGAAGAAGGATGCCAGGTTGCGGGTGAGGCGGAAGGGCACGGGTTCGCTGCGCTGGAGGACGCCGCGCTGTGGGTCGAAGACGGGGCAGAAATCCACCTGCAGGACCTGGCCGGAGGACTTGGCGAAGAGGATCTTGACGGGCACGCGGCCGCCGATGCACAGCATGAGGGACAGGAGGGAGGAGAGCGCCATCTGGAGGGTGAACTGGCGCTTGAAGACCCAGAGGTGGTTGCAGGTGGGCAGGCTCTTGTACATGAACTGCGAGAAGACGTTCTCGGAGACCACCTTCTCGCAGATCTCCGTGAAGGCGTTGAGGCGCAGCTGGCCGGAGGGGTCGTGGATCTGGCGCCCCTGTGGGTTGCAGATCTTCTTCTTGAAGTGCAGGACGGGGTGGTCCGGCTCGCGGTTGTAGCGCGTGCAGTTCACCTCGTAGGCCTCGGAGTAAGTGGTGTAGGAGGGGTCCTCCTCGATGAGGCGCACCTGGTGCCACACGGGCACGATGACAGGCGCGAACCAGCCCAGAGACCGGGACCGGCACTGTGGGCTCTTGTCCAGCAGGCGGTTCATCAGGCGCATGAGCTGCATCATGTGCTCGTCGCTGGACGCCGGCTGCCCGGAGAGGTGCCCTGCAGCAACGCCAGGCCCGTGCAGACGGCTTAGCCCCACACAGACACAAGTTCCACATTTGAACGTGAATCGCACGGCCAAATCCTGACAGACTGGTCCAAATTCGTCAAAGGGGCGCGCTGGGGTCGATCGTCTTGCTGCCAGTGCTTGACTATCGATACAGGCATTGACATTAAGGTTTGAGAGCGGACCAAGGATATCGATGAACACATTCTCTGGGCTGCCGAGGACAGTGGAGCAAGGGTGGTATACTTGCTGCTGACCAAAATGTGATAGCCAGAAACAACTCCAACGTGAACAGTCACATCAGAAGTGCTGCATCGACCACAACAAGAGCAGGGCACACCTGTTGAGACTGGCCTACCTACTCCACACTGCTGGCACATTCAAGGTATTGTTTTTGAGGTTGCGGACACTTGGATGCCTGCACTACCCGAGGTACAAAAACATTCTCTGGTGCTGACATGCCACACACTCTGATCACAAACAACAACAAAACACGAACAGCACTTGCACACCTGTCTGCAGTATGAAGTGCTGCACATGCCCATCCGACCCATAGAGCGCCAGCCTGCGCAGCGCTGAGCCCTGCCGCCTTATGATGGCCACCTCCGAGCCTATCTTCTCCAGGAAAATGGTTGTGTCAGGCACAACCTCCTCCCCCTTCATGTGCTGCCCCGGCATCTCAATCCCTGACAGGTTCATCTCCTGCAGGGTCTTGCTCTCCACGTACAGCTGCAGGTGCGCTGGCATGTTCTCGTCCAGGTAGCTGGACAGCATGTTCCTCCAGGACTTGAGCCTGTCTGTCAGCTCGCCCAGCGTTTTGGGGAAGGTGTCCGCCTCAGGGTTGAGGTGCCGCACAAATGACTCCCGCAGGTCGCGCTGCACAGGCGAAGAGCTGCTGCGGGCGGAGGGCTCTGTGAAGCAGGCACGGCACACGCCCACCAGCTCCTGGACCAGGTTGTCCGGCACCTCTGCGTTGTTGGCCGTGGGCACCTTGTAGCATCTGGCCATCAGTTGCATTGCAGACTGCTTCAGATACCTTCTTACATTTGTGTCTGGCGAAGGACGCGTGGGATGCGCAATGCGCACAGAATTGGAAGGGTTCATATCTGTTGCAGTGCAATATGTACTTTGCCTGCTGCCAGGAATGGTCATTCACAGACTACACACGCAGCTTGGGCAGTCATTTTCTTCCACACAGTTCAGTGGGCACAAAGATGACTTGACAACATCACATTCTGTTGCATTCGAAGCCCCACATTGCCAGCATGATGCCAGGGCTTACCTTGTTATGTTGTGGCAGGTATGTCATCTATGGAATAGGACACTCAGTTTGCCCTCTCAAAGGCATGAAGCCTACGCACACCTGCTGATGCTTTTGCATCGTTCTCAACAATACAGAGGGCAACAAGTCTCCTGGCTGTGAAGGTTCCCATATGCAAGAAATGTTCCCTTCCTGACAATAAGATGTATACATTTTAGCAAGGAGATAGATAAATAAACAATCGAGAAGAGATTAGACATTCACAAGAAACATTGAATCGGTAAGAAGAGAATACTCACCTGTGCAGCAGGGCGTACACCACGGCCATTAGTCTCTCCTCCGGCCTTGCCATGAACTTGCCAGCAATTTCGTGCAGCATTGTCTCCATCACTCCTGCCAAAGACCCCAGCTTGTGCCTGAGTGTGTCCAGAACCTCACGGCCGCGCTCGAAGGCCAGTATGTCTGGAGGTTTCTCTATCTGCGAAATAATTCGTGCACTGCTGTCCGCCATGGAGTCACCACCCAGTGCTGTGCCACCTGGGGAACAAACGTTCCACATCACAGAAAGCAATAACCAATTCTACAAGTACTTGCAGGTCTCATTCAGCCCAGTGTGCATGCACACAGATCTGCTGTCAGGTCCAGTGCCCTGATATTCTCTCAATAGTCAGGAGCTCAATTTGGGATCGAATAATTTTCTGGGACACAAGCACCACTACGGGTGCGGTCTTCGTTGCATCACACTTTGGTCTACCTGTCTCTAGCTGCAGGTGGACACTACTGGCCCTGATACAATTCCAAGCATGGACATGCTGCAGATGAACGTGTACATGATGAAGATATAGCGCGACCAGTATTCAGCCTTCATATGATGTGACGAACACCGACAGCAGCCAGAATCTCTCAATTCGGATCGCTGAAACAACGAACCACTGCCACTTGCTATTCTTGATGTACCCACTGTTCCCCGCAGAATGTCGAATTCTCTTCGTTGAGATTGTGGATTGCTTCATTTTCACGCGATAAACTTTGTGGACTTTCCATCGCCAAGCACCTTTTTGTGAGATGGCACATCGACATCTCACCTGTTAGGATGCGAGCAGTACTCAGACGCCTAGCCAGGCAATGCGACACACTCGCCAGACACGTTGGATGCGTGGTGCAACCCAGTGCTGCATAGCAGCCCCTGACCACCACAACGGCGCGGTGGCCTCAGGGTGTTCTAGGCAACCTATGGCCCCATGCAGCTGTTTCACACTGTGTAATTCACAGGCCAGAATATCACGCCGCCCCAACACATTTTCTTTCATGAGGGCCATGAATGGGGCCCTGCCCTACCTTGTGCCTGTGCCCCACCGCTGGCCGGATCTACTCCCCCCGCGACTGCACTCTGGTGCTGCTCCAGGACCCTCTTCTTCTCAGACATGTACTGGCTGACAGCCGTGCGCGCCTTCTCGCGGCTGCTGAGGACGTAGACCCGAAGGTAGTAGTTCAGAGCCTGGGGGTGCTGGGTGGCAATTCTCATGAGCAAGGGCTTCACCACTTTGGCCTCCCTGCGCGTCAGGCCGACCAGGAGCTGGGGAATGTAGAACAGCCAAATCCAGGTGGGCAGTTCCACGCTCTCAAACACCTGGGCAACGGTGTCTGCAGCCAAAAAAGCGCTATCAGCAGCGATGCAGCTACTTAGTATTGAAACGATTTTCATCAATAAAAAATAATCGAATAAACCAAAAAATAAATAGACAAATAAATAATTAAATAAATAAATAAATAAATAAATAAATAATTATAAATAATTATAAATAAATAACAATCCATTTATTCGTTTGTATATCTATCTGTATTTATACACTTACGACTGCATATGAGTTTACACTGGAAACGAAAATGATACAGCCGTTAGTTGCATCCCTTCTTAGAGAAACCAGCCCTGTTGGGCGGCGGAATTCTCATCGAACGAGGTCAAGGACTCTGTTGCGTTGGACGTGTAGCTGGCGCACTCTGTTGCCAGGTTTTCAAGTTTGAAGCCCGACATGGAGCATGCAAGGATGCTCATCGTCGCGTCGCCAGACAAATGCTGAATCCGCCTCCTGCGGCCGGCAATTGCGCCAGAATAGATCCGTCGACACAAAAGCTGCTGCTTTCGTTGCCCCAAACTTGCCCGCTACCCACAACTTTGGCCCGAGGTCGAACTGCGGCAACCTGCCAAGAAACACAGGTACCAAATGCTAGCGGAGGGCTAACTCCAGTGGCTCTTTCTTGGCCGCTTTCCACCAGTCGCCCAGGCAGACACCCGAGGCCCCTGGCGTACCTGTGTCGTCAAATGACAGCAGCTCGAAGCACCTTGGCAGCATGTTCCTGGCGGCCGGGCTCCCAAGGCGGATGCCCTGCAGGTAGCACCCCACGGCGTACTCCAGCTGCGTGGTGCTCTTCCTCTGCTCATACAGCGAGTCGCAGAAAGCGCCCCAGCTAAGCCACGCCTCGGGCAGCTGGTGGTTCAGCGCGACGGCCGTGCTGTAAGCCTGGTTGGCGTGCTCGATGCGGTCTGGCATCTCCTGCTGGACCTCCCCCTTCAGGCGATAGATCTCCGCCTGCAGCCCCTGGTGTGGAAAGTAGTCCAAGTTCGTGGTGTTGAGCATGTTGAGGCCGGTGATCTGGGGGCAGCGCAGAAGCGGGTGAGGGCGGGGCCATGGGGCAATCCGTGCATCATCGCACACAGCGCAAACAGGGCCATCGTGGGGTATATGCACACTAGAGGGCTCAGTAGATTCGCCAGTATATGTGATGGGTCACGCACATCTGCCCAGTAGCTGGCCACAGCTCGGCAGACGAGTAGTCGGGCAATGGACCTCAACGATTCTGTCCATGCGCGACGGCAGGCGCATCTGTCGGCATTGGGCACCTGGCAGTGGCGTTTGCGAATGCTCGGAAGAGATATTCTTGTTTTGAATGTTGCGTCGCATTCAAAACTTAAGGTTCTACCCTTGTGCCAGCAGAACAGGTATGGCGCAGCAGGTGATATGTGAGCAACGTGATTTTGCAGGTGCACATATGGTGTGCCAACCAGCAGCAATGATGCATTTGACTGGCTGAGAGTCTTTCGCTGCAAGCCACAGCAATCGCGACAAGTGATGGCGATGCAGGTCCTGAAATGCTGCAATGGCAGACGCATGGTATGCCGGCATTCAACACTTACATCTGGATAACACATTTGAACATCGGGAATCTTGATGCAGCATGTCCGCCATTTGGTGCAACCAGGTCGTCAATACGCTGGTCGGTGACACCGCGACATCGTATTGCGAAACAATGCTGACAAGCCTTGATGGTGATGCCACGGTTGGTAAATGGGGATTGCAACACAGCCCAGCTTTGCACCAAGTACAACGTTTGATATTTCTGCACCAACAGCGCAAGTTCCTGACTAACGCACATCGCGAAATCAAGGCTCACCCGATCGTCAGGCATCTCCAAATACGCCTTGGCCTGTTCAACAATTTTGTAGAATGCCTCATGGAAGTCCATAAAATTGTAGTTGTACATGTTGTTCACAATCTCGATGCACACTTCGTAGGACCCGTGCTTGGTGGCAACATGCGCGAGGTGGTTGATGCTCCAGGCCTTGTCTTTGGGACCCAAATGATACAAATGTGGTGCGGTCTGCTCAAAACTCCTGAAAACAAGCAGCAACAAGTGCCATCACTTGCAACAGTGCCTCAAGTGCATTGACACTAACAGACAGTTCCAGCGCACAATGCAACCTCTGCCTTGAGCATGGATAGGGAACATGTTGCCATGTGCAAAGTTCATCGATTGTGATTCACACTAGGTTGCATTGATGATTCTTTGAATAATCTCAGTGCGGCCTACCTTGGGGGCGCATGCTATATTGGTGGCAGACGTGGCGTTGGAGTGGTTACTATTGTAACGTCATCAGGGTTTGGGTTGGCCGAAAGGCAATCACACTGAGTGTCACAAACACTCCCACAGTCTTCCTTGCATGTAATAGACAGGGAACAAGGCTTAAAGGGAACTGACGAGGCCGACTGGCGTCGGTCGAAACCGGTCTTGCCAAGCCAAAGCCTTGTGGTCAGGGGGCAGATCATAATCCCGTCAAGGATACTGTGAGTGAGAATGCCGAACACCGACTTTAGGACGATGGCATCTACTGGAGGGACTACGGGCGCACCACCGGTAGGTACCAAGGGAAACGCCGGAGTCCTTTGGGAGGTTTTGAGAATGGTGTTGACCAAGCCCGTGGAAGGAAGGCAGTAGACGCACAAATTACCCAAGTGGGCCATGCTAGGGTAGCAATGAGACATACCGATTTGGGGCGTGAGAAAGTCGGGTCCATTTGGGGGGCGCAACCAATCTTGGCGACTCAGAAGCAAACCAAACAGCTGTGGGAACCCCGGCCGACTGTATAGAATGGTGACGACATGAGTGGTATGGGACAATTGTGTATTAGCCACCTATGCAGGTAATTCAAGACGTGCACAAACTGTCAGACGTTTTTAATGCGAAGAGCAATCAATTGAGCACATGACACATTTGGATGGTCCACATCATGCGATAGGGACAATGAGCTCCGCGACCAAATTCCTGTCCAGTTCTATGCAGTCTTTCGAGACTCTCTCGTCATGAAAACAATTACAAACAAAGCTGGCAGGCCATTCTGATAGGCAGACAATGCTGAATTGATGGAGTTCTGCGTAACCAAACGCTACATGCACTGAGCTCTAAACCACAGCTCAAAAAATTTCAAAGCTCATGTCGTCCTTGGGAAGAGCAGCTGCTTAGCAAACCCTGGCAACATGCCAGGCACTACGTACCTGCCACAAATCTGCCTGGCTTGTGGTCTCTAACAATGGCCAGACAATGCGCGGTGTGAACTGCCTTGCATCACTGTTCAATAGTCATCGCCTTATCAACTTTCCAGTGCATGATCCAGCTCGACGGCTGGCAGCACGACAATAGAAGACAAAAGATGCTTTAAGCGCACGATGCAACCATGCAATGACCAACCACCTTGCTACATCGCCCACAAGGAAGCACCCTGGTACCTGAATGCCTGAACGATGCTGTTGTATATCTGGTGCCTCCACATGAACACATCACACCAGTGGGACAGGGGCTCCCAAGTGTTCGGAGTCCTCAACCTCCATGTCTCCAGGATGTCTTTCAGGCTCGCAAAGCTGTGATCTGCCCGTGTCGAGTTCAGCTCATGCAGTGCTCTGAGCAGCAAAGACAGCCGCCCAGAAATGCCACCATGTCAATACAGATAAAGATGGACCAGTCGCAGTAAAGTACACACAGATTCATGGCGTCGTTCCAGTTCTTTGTAGTCTCCTGGGTTCACATCAGGATTCGGAAACTAGCACCTAGTTTCATGGGTAGGGAAGCAGGTGGAGCATTTTGAAACCACAATGTACTATATGTAACTATCAGCCAACTGAACGTAAGTCTCCACTCTACGGCGCAGCATCCGTTTGATCCTCTAGATCGGTGTCAGCTAGGAATATGGTACGAGTTTAAGAGTTTAGGAAAAAAACGTTCAGAAACAGCAAATTCCGGACAGCACAACCACAGGTCTGCTCCAAAAACATTCCGTTGTGCACAGAACAAGGGGCGTCGCTACAGGACACACGTGCCTGGAGATGGCCAGAAGTGATGCTGACACAGGCCATTGATCAGGGCGCGAAGATGGGTATGACGACACTCACAGTTGCATTTTACGATGACATACAATTGGTACCCTTTCTCTAACGCTGGAGTATGCATCAAGGATTCATTCACTTTTGTTATTGTTTGTTCCTGGACATTGTGAAGCAGGATGTTGGTCTAATGGGCATTTGTACCCGGACATGGACACTGCTGGTACACTGTGCAGTGGCAGGCAGCGACAAAACAGTTTGTGAGTACACATGCAGAACAACGACAACAGCTTGGAATTCCCATATTCAGCACAGCCGGAATGCTATGTCCCAATATTCCACAAATGCGATTCCATGCAAGTGAACTGTACCGTGTGCTCTCAAACAACTCCACCACTTGTTGAAAGAGCTGAAGGAGTTGTCCCTGTGGTGCGACGCCAATGTCGGGCAGTTGCCACCATTGTGACAGGCACTGGTGCATGGCGTGGTGCAGGTGACTGTGTGCATTTCCCACCTCACCCTCATGAAGGTCCAAGTACACTCGCAAAATGAGGTACTTCAGAGGGTCCTGGAACTGTGGGACGAGGCGACACAACAACGCACAGTGAGATGACCTCCAGACCAACTCATGACCTGGTTGCCTACTGGCTGGCATCCACAGTGAGTATTTCCCTGTTGCACTAGGAGACATCCTCCGTGATCTTTCCTCAATACTGTTGAACTTGGTTTGCGCTTGTCCTTGAGCATCATGCATCATGTGGACGTGCATTGTTGTGACAAAACACTACATGAGGCGACCCTTGCAGTACATTCATTCTTCCTCTTTAGGATGCAGACATCGACTCAGAGACTCATTCTGAGAGTTCTGTAGCATCTTTGGTATGAAAGAAATCCCATAAACATTCTTGCTCAGGAGGGGGTGCATGTTGCACAACGACCTTCCATTCGCCTGAAGAAAAATCTTTGGTTTTATTCTATGCGGCCAACACTAATGGCATCCTCTGCCAAGGCATGTGGAGCCATGTCCAAGCGTGTTCCACAAGCAAGATATCTGGGCACAGCCTGAGCTGCGCTGTATCGCTGCAAGCGTCAATGAATAAACAGCAATAAAAATCCAAATCAAGAAAACAGAGCACTGACATTAACTGCATCAATGACAACCACAGCTTTGGTCCTGTACTCAATGCCATTCTGCCTCACTGTCATCTTAATCCGCAGTGTGTCAGATCTTTCCAGTGCTGCAATTATCATTGAAACCAGGGTGATATTCAAATATAGACTGAACCAATATGAAACAAATATACTTTGCAAATGTAGAAACATCCAGAACAACCCCTGTCCCACAAGTACTATCCGGCAAACCAAAAGTTGGAAGGAAGGAATGTGCTGGCAGCAATCTGCACTGCTGAGCCGTATTCGTAGGATCCTTGCTCACCTGATCTTTCTGATCCATGCATTCCCTCACAGCTTCCCAGTCGGGTTTCTGCAGGCGCCATGCCGCATCTGCAGCCAATGCCACATTGTCAGTGTTGTTGGCATACTGCGACAACTCCTCCCAGTGGTTGAGCTCCCGTTCGCACTTAACCCATTCATCAGCCCACAGCAGGCCTTCCCGGCTGAACACCTCCGGTTTCATGGTGTGGGCCTGCTTGATTGTCTCTCCCAGCATCTCTGATGCCTTGTCCCAATACCCATACTGAATAAGGCTGAGGCTCACATGCGTGTACTCTGACTGGCATCTCTTTTTCAGCAGGCCGTACATCACATCTGTCTCCGAAATCAGGCAGTACAGTTCTGCCAGAGCATCAAAGCAGCGTGTCTCATCAGGAAAGATCACAACATGCGATTCCAGCAGGGGAATAGCGATGTGCCAGGCATTGTATGTCTTGCCAAGGAACTTGATGAGCTCAGGGGGGATCTTGGGCTGGGGCTGTGACAGGGAAATGCCCTCCAGCAGTGCCTGGACCACGTTGGGCCTGGAGCTGGCCTGCCTCTGGTGGTATTCTTTGGACAGAAGCGCGATGACAGGCTTCGCCAGGGCCACCTGGTTGTTCTTTTCAAGAGTGGCCCAGACGATGGGGAAGACCAGCACCCACAAATGGTATGCCAGCAGCGAGTCGACATGGGCATACTCCCGAAGTGGCCGGATCAGGTCCCTGACAGTGTACTGTCCTGCAAGAGCAGCCAGTCAAGGTTCAGCTGAGAACAACAACTGTGGGAAGGACCATGAACGTTGGCGATCGAGCTAGAGGTTGGATGTTGTGGTACTTCTCCCTTTGAGTGCAGCGGAATTCGGTAATGTGTTTGGGCTGATAGAATCCAAGAAGTTAACAAACAGCATGACATCTGCAAGGTTGAAAGGGACACGCAATGTACACAAGCTGCAGCATGCACTGCACAGTCCTTTGCACTAAGATCAAGGCCAATCTCCAAATTGCCACTGGTGCACACAGGCAACTACTAAACAATCACAACAAACTAAACAGAGATTTCAAGTCTGCCAATTGGCACTAAAGCATTACTTGTTTCCACAGACAACCTGCAGTGCGGCATTCAATACTCTCTTGATCAGACACGGGCTTGACTGGCAAAATTGAATCCTGTCCAAACAATCTATCTCCCCTGCGCTAACCTGGTCATGCCAGGCCAATTCCCTGGATGTTTGACAGACTTAACGAGTTAGTTTCATATGCAACAGCAGCATCCCACTGTCCCTTGTGTGGACAAACTTGGAACTCAGCAAGCCACACACCCATCACCTGCTGCACTTATGAAGGCAACATGGTCCTCCAGAATGCCCTGAAGTTTGCTTTCTGGACTCACTGACAATGACACCTCGACCTTGACTTCGGCATCTTGCTGTCCCTCCAGCGTGACAACGACCCCACCTGAAGGCTGCCCAACCACTGCCGCCTGGTCTTCAGCATCCCCACCCTCTGTTTCGTCCGTGGCGATGCTAGGCAGCGGCACAACCTGGGCTGAATTCGGAGCTAACGTGATACTCTCGTCCTCACACAGAGTGGCAAGCAGAAATTCCTACAGAGCCATGCAGGGATTAGCATTTGTTGACACGACGTTCCTGCTCAATCCCAAGACTGGTGGAATGTTCCAGGGAGGAGTCCCAGTTCTATAGACGCAAACTGCCAACATGATGCCAACGCAAATTTCAGAATCGTTGGTCCAGGGCCCAAGGTGCTGCTCAGCACACTCATTCTGCATGCTGTCCACTACAGGTGTTCATCTCATTCCCCATTTCGAACCCCGAACACTGCAGTACAGAAGCTGGAAGTAGTTGCTTTTGGCAGCCATTCTCACTTGGGATGCTGGCAGTTTGACAGTTAGTGCTTTCCAGGTGGGCCGTGGCACTGCATGTTGGGAGAAGTTAGTTCACCTTTGAACAAATGTAACATGGACCTCCAATGCAGAGCACTGGCATGTATCAGGACAGTCTAAAGACCAAAAATTGCTCAAAGGTACCAACAAAACAGCCACTCTTGAAAGGCACATTCCCAGAATGACGATCACTCATATGAAGCAGCAATTGGCAGTGCCCAGGCAATTGTAATCGAGGGGGGCCAAATGTGCCTTGCAAAAGCACAGGCACACGTTGCACCGCATCTGCTGATAGCAAAGAATAGGGAACACGTAATCGCATCATACCAAAGCTTGCTTGAGCCAGAAGCGGTTGGCCATGTTTGCCCAGTCTTGGGTCTGCAAGATATACTTCAGACGGGCAAACAGTGTGCCCCCTGTGCATCTTCTGTACAGTGCAAAGAAGCGCTCACGGAGCTCTGGATCTGAAGCTCGTAGCCCCACAAGGTACATTTGCTCGACATTGGCAAAAACTTCTTGCCGTAATTCCTGCTCAAGCACATGTACAGCGAGTTCAGAAGAGGCGCATTTGACACTGAAAGTGATATTGGCCTCAGGAGCACTCACCACTGACTATGCTGCTAGAGAGCACGCACTCATTGTTGGCGTGTCCACCACAAATTTTCTTCTGCTCTGCTGACTGACATCTGTCAAAAAGATGGAGTGCTGCCATAGAGTGCTGCCATGACCCTCCACCACTGTTGTGACACAACAGTTCCAATACAAACGGAATGTAATGGCCCCGTTCTTAGACTTTGCAGAAAGACTACGCACCAAATGTAGCATAAACGATGCAGAGTTTGAGCCGATTTGCATCACTTGCTGTTAGAACTGCAAATAGCTCGAACAACCAGATTCCTTCGTGTGCGTCCATTTATGGGATTCCCTGATTCGCAGGTTGGCTGGCACGTTTGCATTTGACCCCATGATTACAATATGCTAAGATAGTAGGCAAGGGCAGCAAGGGCTGCTTCCTAGCAGATTAGTTGTTGGGTTGAGGAATAGGGCAATTTCCTTTGTTTACATTGGCTGCTGTCTGTTCACCCTGCAAAGAGGTTGTGAGCAAAGAAGAGAACAATGGAAAACAAGAAAAACATTGCCTATGATATGCAAGGGCTCCGCGCTGTCTTCTGAAGGCAAATACAACACAAGGAAGCTAGCAGAAATTTGCAGTGGCTTGCGCTGGCTCCAGGCTGCTAATATGGCAAAACCGAACGTGACAGCAAACAGTGACGTCAACTACGTTCTTGAATCAGAAGATCACTGACTGAAGACATTCTGAGCCAGTAAAGACAAATCTGAACACACAAGTAGTTGAACACTTAGGGAAAAGGACCGCTGCAGTAGAGACAGCCCCTGGCTGCCGCACTGGGATAGTACAAGAGATGAAACAAACAGCAGTTCATGGCATGTTGCGTCCTGTGCCGCCTCGCAGCAGACAACTGCAACACCTGTTGTGCTCAGAAGATAAGCAACAATGTAACTGCACCCACCGGGTCAACATCGTCTGCTGTGCAAAGACGATACAGAAGCCCCAAAAACGACTTCTCCCACTCTGGCTTCAAGCTCGGATCTATGTTGCCATTGGCATCCTGCCGAGCCATTTGCTGCAAAGCCCAAACCACCCTGTCCTGGCTCAAGCCCCCTGCCATCAAGCATGCAAGTTTCGATGCACTTCCATTTCTAGGATGTGTCACAACACTGCCATTGGCACTGCTAGGCGATTACAAGTACACTCAGGACAACAGAGGACCTGATGACAAACTGACAAGGGAAAATGTGATGCCATTTTATTGCAATTCGTCAGTTCCATGAAGAAGAATTACGGTTTGCCACGACGAGTTGGGAGAGATGCCATAAAAGAACAATAGCCAACAGGAGCGGCCCACTATCTGACACCACAGGGACAGTCATACATGTGTGCAGCTGCAGTCTGACGTCCAATGCAACAGTGCACTGCCATGTGGGATACCATTGCATACCATCGAGCAGTGGCTTGGGATCGCTCAGCCATGCCTCCAAGGTGTGCATGATCTCAACAAACACAGCCTTGTCTGTTGTGCGGCTCCCTTGGTTCCTGATAAACTTGACAAGAGCCATCATGAAGGTGTTGTGCTCACTGACATTGCACTGATGCACTTGCAGGGCACACAACTTCAGCACTTGGCACATATCCCAGGACATTGACCCAAACTCCAGAGGCGTCGAAGTGGCTTCCCTGCCACCACACCAGACTACAGTCAATTTGGAGAGCAATATGCTGTACTATATGGCTCTCCACGTTGCTGCCATGCCTGTTTGTACCTCTGCAGAAATGCAACACGCAGGCAGCTATACACCGGCTTGACAATCGACAGCAAACATGGCAAACAATGGGGGCATCGTCTACAAAGCAAGTGTTGAAGCATCTGTGCCTGAAAGGGAGTGTTGTAGCCACTTTAGCAACATCAGTATCATCCTGCCGGAGTTCGCCATACTGTGGATGGCAGGTGGCATCAACATGCATAGCTGTCTTACTGCACTGCTGCCTATCTTCTGGGGCATTGATAAACTTGTGCACAATCTCTCATGGCTAGCATATGCCTTGTAATTGCCCAGCTGCTGGCCCATTGTTTCACCTGTGCTGCTCCCTCCCATGGTGTACTGGCTGCTGTGTGTTGGAGTACTTGTCCAATAACTTGACAAGGGGGCTCATAAATTTCAGAACAGCCTGTTGGTTGGCTTCAGAGAGAGCCGACAGCACGGCCAGGCAGCAGGACACCTCAAAGTCGCTGGGTGCCTGCTGCTGGGGCTCTGAGGGCTGGAGGTATTTCAGCAGAAGCTCCTTCTCCAGTGCTGACTTGAGCACGCGAGCCTGCCACGCAGACCAACAGAAGTCACGATGTAAAGGCCTCGGAAGAGAAACAGTTAAGTACACTGAATGCCGAGGATGCTGAAAACATGTGAGCACAAGTACTAGTGGCACAAGCATCAGTGCAATGTCGATGAAAGTGCTGGGCAGGAATGTCAGCACGCCTGGTGTTCTCCATTCCCATTATCTGCTTGATGGGTGCTGTCACAGCATGAACATGCAGGTCACAGCCTGAATGCATTAACAACCACTGCTGGAGACTTGGACTTTTGAATTCCAGTCCAGGATCTGATAATTATCTATCCGCCTGCCCACTGATCAAGCCACAACCTCGATTTGGTGAATTTCAGCATCAACGCCATCCAAAGCCAAACTAATCCTGGGCTCATTGGATTGAAATCTCGTCTTCGTTTTGCTCTAAACCACATTCAAAATGTCAAGTCTGGCCGTCCCAATAGACACACTGATATTCGCATAAGTTTGAACCAAAATGAAGAATATGCATGGTGTTTGTTCCATTGTGCACAACACGTCAATTCTCAGAGGCACAGAACCAAACAACAGTTACAGCGTCCCCCAACCATTGCGTGGAGATGCGAGCAATGCAGAACAA